GAATTAAATTTGAAAATGGTTCAAGAAATGATCTTTTCACGCTGACATTGTCCTCCCTGATTCCAATCAAATCTCTCATGTAGGCTATACTTTCAGATACGATGTATACCGCAGATTTTACGACCATAATTGACAGACCAGTATATAGTCCTGTCTAAACATTGTCCTTGTTATTATCATTGTGTGTGACTGACAACTCAACTCCAAGCCTAATGTCCATGTATAATTACTATTTATTTAGACCACAAAACTACAGTGTAACTGTAACTGACACTCGTAATTGTCTCTACACATTGTCTCGACAGTACTTCCTTTACATGACCGATTTACCGGTACTCTGATATAGTCTTCATTTACATGTACATTATCGGCAGTGGGGGTAATGGCACCAACTCGTCTTTACTGCTCGAGTATTCTTCCTTTATGTAACCGACACCAGTTGTATGGGCAACAATACGTCTCCACAGCTCGGTTTAAGTCAACGACTGGTTTACCCTGTCAGAATAATGTGAATGGATAAAGTACTGTGCTGGGTCCTTGAAGTATGAAATTCAGTGAGGTGCCACTCTAAAGCCGGTACCATATCAGCGCTATCACAAGGAGGCATATACACCAACATACTACCCCCAGCATACCGCATGCTTACATTACAATTGTGGTGGCACGTCCATAACTGGCTTTAACTGTTTATAGGCCATTAGCCCTAGAAACCAAACAACCATATTCTCCTTTTAGATAACTAACAGTATACGCTAATGCACTAACACGCCTTCATAGTTGTAACTTTCTCTCTGATGTAATCGACAGCAGAAGATGTCTCTACACTATAATCTAGTATGCTGCCTTTGTATAACCGGCAGTAGATGCCTAGACACTCAACTTATTTATACAGTTCTAATGCTCTTGTGTTTGTAATGAGCGGTAGAGACCTTGACATAATGCATCTAGTCTCTACCATTCTACGAGTAACGCTTTGTCTCCTCAGCTCTTGTTCAATATGTCTCCTATCTATAACCCCGGTCTAGCTACCACCTTCTCTCTTACACTAGCCCGTCTCTCTAGTTCTAGTGCTCTGTCCCCCTATAACCGATACGAAAGCAGAAACAACTTATTTCTGCGTTTCTTCTCTGTTTCATTTCCCCTTAGGGTGCAAGAAACAAGAAGAACCGTTGCCGATTCCCAAAGTGACATCTTCAAACTTTGACAAACATCACTGTGTGAAATACAACAAATGTTAGAATACACTATCTCACCGACAGAACTGAAACTCCGCTAGGCATTTAACAAGTGACATCAACACAGCTCTACCGTGTCATTATTGCCTCATATTATGTCACCAGTACTAAGAATAATGGACCCAAACTATACAATATATTGACTTATAAAACTAAATTTCAAACTCATCAGACAGAAATATACTAGTATTCAAACTGATGAAAGGAAAACCAGTCCATGGAATCTTGTTCTTACAGATGAAGTAGACGAATGGAGTAATCTATGAATGTTCACCAATTCTATAAAGTCTCATATTGTTTTCCTCTGTTATGAGTTGTCAGGACGACATTGTAAATCTCAATCTGCAGCATTTGTTTTTATTATAGTCTCTCTCGTGTATGGTCTCTGATATCTATAAAGCAATATTTGTTTTTATTATAGTCTCTCTCGTGTATGGTCTCTGCTATCTATAAAGCAGTATTTGTTTTTATTATAGTCTATTTCCTGTATGGTCTCTGATATCTATAAAGCAGTATTTGTTTTTATTATAGTCCCTCTCGTGTATGGTCACTGATATCTATAAAGCAGTAGTTTCTCAATTGAGCTGACTCGCTTTGCTCTATTCAATATATCTTCTTTCAGAATCAACACAAAGCTATTTTATTTCATACATTGCATCTTTTAAATGTTTTGATTATAAAAAAAAAATGATTATTAAAATTCGCTAGCTCCACGCGAACTAAATTGTCTCTAGGTAAGCTTGTTATAGCATTATCATCAATTACTAAAAAATGCTGATTAATTGATAACTATACTGATTAATTGATAACTATACTCAGATATATTTCTTTATTAAAAAACGAACAGATTAACATCCGAGTTATATTGAAATTCAGAAGTTATGTTCGATATGACCGGATATGTTCTTTGATCAAAAGTATTTTTTTCTACATAGCAATAAGTTGTCACAAGATACATATATATACATATGTTGTTTGTCATAAAAGTATCAATGAAAATATGTTATTTTAAATAGCGATAAGTAAACTGCCGAGTTTGTATCTGTATCGTTATCTAAATCATATTTTGCAAACAACAGATATCTAAAACTATTGGTCCTGCAAATACGGATTTCTACGAAAATATGTCCGACATCGACTCGGCGACAAAAGGAGCAGGCTATTGTATTTCATGAATGTACTGGACTTCTCGTCGGCTGCGATCGTTTTCACTCCCGATTTTCAAAAAAATAGAAAAATAACATATAGTCAAGTTTCAAACATTTTATTTAGCTTTACTCTTACAATTCATTTATAAATAGATCACATGGTGATAATGTACATGATTCAAAGCTTTAACAGCAACATCATAACATATGTCTGCGCTAACAGGCCGACTACAACTGTACAAACTGTCGTACGGCAGCCCAACACTGGCACAACAATGTAAACTACGACAGCAGTGAGCTGCCAGAAAGGACGGCATCAATTACTTTGGCGCACAAGTGGACAAGTATAGGACCGTGGGTTGGACCAAGGTAGGGCGCATTTATGTACATGGATACTATACTGGCCATGTATATAACATAACTTGTTAAGTACAATAATGTGTATTTCGTAATGTCTTTCTTTCTCTCCCACTCACACTTACCATCACGCACACAGGCACACATTGAATATAAATATGTGAACTTATGCTGTATTGCAGCATTTACATGACACACAAGTCAGTACATTTTTATAAATCATAGGAAGAATAACAACTGGTATTGGAATTCGTTGGAAAGGGGTTGAGAGTGGGAGCAGGTTATAAAAACTAACAAAACATATCAAACAATTTGTGGAAAACTCAAAAGAAGTATTTTTTTTTCGTTTTTGTTTTGTTTTAAATAATCCTCTTCTCACCAAATATAAAACTAAGAGCTTAAAGAAACAATTTTTATATCACATATATTTAAGATAGATTTAACTTGCAGACCTTTATGCTAATACTTTGTTCTTGAATTATATACCAGATAAGATGGAGCCTATATTACTTACATTGCATGTGCATTGGTATTTGTATGTCTTTGTTTATGTTTGTTTTTAATTAGGTATGGTTCTACTGCTGGGGATATCTAATTTAATACAGAAGTACACCAACCGTTTAAATTGCATTTACAGTGCGTGATACAAGAACTGGAAAGTGAACCAACTTTTGTATGACGTCATTCACTCGATGTATTTTGCCGAAGGAAAAAAAAAGGGATATTTATTTAAAGAGGGAGAAGATAGTACCTACAGACACAATAATAATTAAAGATAATTTCGCCGCAGACATCTTAACATATGGTGAAGCCACTGACTCACCTCTACAGTATACCCCCAGCACACTTACACACGAGTCCGAGAAATAAAGTACGGGGAAGCAACACTTAACCACTGCAAATAGACTGACTCATTGTGCTAAATCTTATGACAGTGTTCATCAATTAACTCTAAAAACAAAGAGAGTGCACCACTTTAGTGATAAAGGTCCCTTTCATCTTTACAATCCCTGAATTCTGTGTCATGTATACATTAATACTATCTCTTCATCTAACGTTAAAGCTCAAATCATTTTGAGGAGAAAAAAAGCCTTTTACACAACATGCGACTGAAAGAGTAAAATGGTTCAGATTGTGGAAACTGATAAAAATGATTTACACACGCTGTGAATTGATAATTAAGTATCTTCTTGTTCTATTTCCTTAGAAACTATTGTCAGATTAAGAACGTAAACTTGAATCATGAGTGAAGGAACACAGTCTTTATGGCATGAGTATATTCGTATAAAAAATATTCCACGTCTAGGTAATGGTTGTGCAATTAAGGTATTCCGATATCCAACACGAGGGCAAACCAATTATTGATTGAATATATACCAGGCTGGGGTTTTATCAGTTTTGAAATTGCTTTTCTTTAAGATGATTAATTTTATTTGAAAACCATAGTTGAAAGACAGCGATACTGTTGATTGCTGTCATGCCGAAGAAAATATTAAAGACTCAGAGATAATTTGTTGAACATAATAATGAAAGTATTTGACGTTGCATACTCGTGCTACAAGTCATCATTAATTACTTCTGGACATTTTCCAAGGAAATAACTAACATATTAGCAACTTTTACCACAACAGCTTATCACGAATTGCTCTACTCCCATTTAACCATTTAATTATTTGAAATATAAAATTTCACCAGATAAATGGATAGTATTTTGAGAACTTTGGCAACAATGTCTAAGGAAAGTGATAAGAGGAATTACTATGTTAGTAGATTTTATGAGCTATTAAAATTTTAAGAATATACAACATATTTCTACAAGATATCAAGTGTCTCAAGGATAATGGACGTTAATGTGGAAAGGACCCCCTGGAACGAAACAGCGGCAGCCCGTGTTGCGATTGTGATAATAAAAATGAATGCTCATATGTACATAACTGGATTATACGATTCTTATCTGTTACTTGTGCGCTGCATAAACAAAATCATTTTCCTTTAAATTGTGTTTCATTCATAAACAACTTTCATTCCGTATATGACAGTATTTTAATTATAAAGTTAATCATGTTAAAACCATTGTATGTGTGAAATATACACGATTAGTATATATTAAAATACATTTGCATACAATTTATTTATCATAACAATGATGGAACCTGTCTGTTCTATCCTCTTGTTTCGGAGTTATGTGCTTTGTTCATAGAAAACTTCAGTCAGCCTTGTACATTGCATTGTGAATGTCTATATAAAAAAAGTAAAATTAAATGTCTATTTGTTTTATTATCTTAATTAGATATAGTTTTAACTTTATTATATTTATCCTTTTCAAAATCCAGAGAGGCACCAAGATACCACAAAAAAAGGAATGGTCTAGATATAGCAGTTGCCGAAACTTTTTTTAACGATTGCTGTTTTTGAAATTGTACGCAAAATCACATTTTTACTTTATTTATAAAATCCAAAAAGGATGTAGTAACTTTAACTATGATTAAAAAACATGTCAATTGAAAAACAGACAACTATGAACTTCTGGCATGCCATAAGAGACGAAAGACAATTAAAAGTAGTACACTGTGTCTTGAATATCCATGTGTAACGCTTGTGGTTTAGTATTTACAAAATAAATTACGAAACGTACATTGCAACTACCATGATGGATTAAGATGGCTACAGAGTACTGTTTGATATAGATAAAACTCATTCATTTTGCCATTTTAATCATGATACTTAAGACGTCATTAAATGAAATCTACCTGAGTTTGCAAAATAAATATCCATCAAATATATACATATAGTGTCAACATAAAATAACATGGACATAACAATATTCGCAGAAATGTACAATCTAACAACAAATAAAACATCACCATTATCCTTAAAAATACTACCATAATAAGTCTACAGAACAAACTCTACCTCAGATGTACTTACGTGACAATTACGAAATTACCTGTTAAAAATATTTCTTAATATATATTTGGAAAATGAAAAAGATATTGTAAGTGACATTTTACTTTTTGTATATCTATGTACTTTAAAACGCTTAAGAGTGGCTTAGTCTAGCTAGATAGAGCGCAATATCAAACTTGTATATTATGATTATTTTTCTTCTTCAAGTTTGAATAAATAATCAAACCAGGACAATCGTTTGTAGAAGCTTCAAGCAAAGATAAATTTCTATCTGACGTCAACATTTAAGGACCAGCCTTTAATACGCTACAACTGTCAGTAGGACATTGTAACAGACAAACAGAAAAATAGGAATGCCCGTATATAAGCATTCTAAAAGTATGTTTAAGTACAATAGTTAGTTAATATGCCAAATATTTCAAAAGAGTATTTTGTTAAAATGTTTATTAACAAAAGTTTCTTGTTTGAAATTTACATTACACACTGCACGGGATGTCTAATCACGCGCCATAATTTGGTGCAAAATGTGATAAAAGCTGTGCCATTTCATAATCATTTTCATTTACATAGCTTCCATGTAAAAAATTACATCGCCATGACAAATGGAGCAGAGTGGTTGAGGATTCCAGCTCCCCAAGACCCCTTTGAATTCGGTAATTAGCATAACGGAGAAACTCTTAGCTGAACAGTGCATCAAAGTCAAATTATACCTAAATTACGACACGGAATAACTGATAAAGGACGCGAGAATCCTAGATACAAATAATGTTCACAAGAAAATGACAATAAAGACAAAAAAAACTTAAAAGAAATTCATTGCAACCGTTCCTTTGCCAATTTCTTTGTTTACCTGAAAAAAGCTTTCTTGTTTTAATGACAGAGGAATAATTAGGAGCTACCAAAAAACAGCCCATTCTCACGAAAAAGAGAAAAACATGAAAGACTGCCACAGCAAAGACACTGGTTAATTCTATACATTTCCTTTAACTGATCAGTTCTGCTTACACATAATATGGACAAATGATAATTTTATGTAATGAGTTATTGCTTAAACAAGTGCACTTACCCAGCATTGTGCGCGTTTTACATCAGTTTCCTCCCATCAATTAAAACAATACATAATAATCAACATCATCTTTCAGTGGTCTGAACACTACTTGAAAAACAATTAGTGCTTTTTCTTATGTGTCCATTGCACAGACTAGCACGATCAACAAAGATAGCACAAAGGTAATGGTCCAACATGAGACATGTTTCTGCCCTCACAACACTGCCAACTTTAAATTGACACTTAAATAGATGTGTCCTTCTGATTGATGTTATTCCCTGCTTTCCCACGGTGGTCCAACAACGCATCACTAGCGGACACCTGCCTGGTGCATTTTGGCTTACACAGTTGAACTCTCAACATCGGCTTTTTTGTAAGAATATGAATTATTCGGAAAGAAAGTTTTAAACACTGAATTTAACTTCGTTTGTGTCATGGCGCATGGATTACAAATTACTTTTGTATTGTTTTGATCCCACACAGCCTGTTTGAATGTGTCTTCTCACTGTTTCTATCTGGAGGTTACAACCCTTCATGCACACTTGTAATCATAACTTAATTTTATCACATTTTGTTTTGCAAGACCGACCCTCCTATTCAAAGTCGTTTTTCTTTGAGTCAGGTCAATGCTATTTGAGCTTAATCAAACTCTTTCTTCAGTGCACACATGTCACTCGTTGTTTTAAATTGTATTCTGAGGAAAAACTGTTTGAATCCCAAATTCTTTTGCGGGTGTGGCCACTTTGTTCTATGGTGAAAACTGGGTCCATTAACAAATATTAACCACTCAGGACATTGTCTCCTCATCCCGACCCCGAATCAGCCACTCCGTTGACTTCTCCACACCCACAACTCCTGTGGGGGATTCTGGAGAAGGTAATGATATTGTCACTGATTTTTGCGGTTGTGTTGGCCGCCCAGTTAACAGGGAAATGGTGTCATTTTCTGATTTAGGTAAACTACTACTCTCTGACGTGGATATAGGCACGTCAATATTCTCTAGCTCCAGGTAGTCACGGTCCCTACTCAGGAGTTGTTCTATCTCCACACGAAGACCTGAAAATGTCTGCCTGTCTGAAGGGGACTCCATCCAACAGCGACGTATAATAGCGTATCTAAAAGTCAAAAGAAATACGGTTACTAGTAAAACACGTTCTTTATAGGCATACAATTTACAAAATACGCGTTTGATATCGTGAGCAGTCAGCTGTTTGAGTATGATACAAGATACATGTTTTCAACCACATAAACAAAGAAATCAGTCATTAGTATTTCGCTACTATTTAATAATAAACCAAGATGACACTAAGCACATGAATATTTCTTCGTGAAATGTTTCATCGAGTGTTCAGAAAGGAAGGAGGAACCTTCTAGCTGATTGTATAAAACGGTTTAAATAATATTCTAAACAAAACATAGAAACAGGTGTTTTGGAAAAAGAATAATCATATTTTCTTTAAATATTTTATTTTCCAGTAAGTCCAGGCTTTTTTATTTGGGTGGTCCCTTTTACATAAAATTTGATAAAACTTTAACAATAACTACCACGAGAGAGACGTTTTATGCTTTATTACAAAACAGATTACAATGTAATGGTGAAGTTTTGGTTAAAAAAAGAAAGGGTGGTAGGAGTGAGCAGTAGAATTTAACACATGAGCCTGCCATAACGCAGGTACTACCGGCTAGAGTTTCTTTGAAGTACCGGTCTGGTGTCATTACTAAAATTCTGGCAAGCCATCAATTTTTATCAAATAGAAGAAATATTTGGAAGATTTCCAACAGAAATACATATTCTATTCATCACGAGATAATTTCAAATGAGTTTGAACTTATATAGACTAGAAATAGTATATGTATATATCTATATTGATAATTTGTCTGGTTCTCTTTCTGCGGTTTTAAGAGATGGCAGTGAAATAAGGTTTAGCCTAGGCGATAACACAAACATATCAGAAAGTATGAAAGGCTTACAAGAACAACATTCATTCCTTTTATTGTATTTTACTGCAAAAGAAGAAATTCTCTTATGTGGAAATGGTCGCGTTGTGACTCTCCTTATTTAACTGACGTCGGACGTATGCACATGTAAAGGTTTGATGCTACCTTAACTCCGGTATATATAATCGAAAACTGCATTTAAACTAATATTGAATAAAAGCAGCCTATATGCAGTGGCTATAACTCATTCTATGGGTATGACTTAACTTCCCACTGACTGCATCTTGTTAATTTATAATTTATTCTTACACAATAAATGTTTGACCATTCATGGTGCAGTTTGCTTTTGTTAACGCGACGATAGGCAACCCCGCTAGAAGTTGCAATTGATTTAACGCCAAACACAATTAATTCGTGAACATTTTTCACTGAAAGTATCAGTAATGAAATCGGGTACCAGTAACCGTAATCAGTACGAACCAAGACTTAGTATGACTAAATATGCTTCATGTAGACCAATTCAAGTATATAAATGACCCGAGACTGTACACTTACTCATTTCATTCGTGTACAGCTATATTCGTAACGACAATGGTTCGGTTCTAATACTATAAATAAATATTATTATTTGATATATTTTTTTACAACATGTCAGCAACTATAGGTGTTACATCAACGTGTCAGTGTAGTCTGTTAACCATTGGTTGTAGTTGCAAAGCGAAAATGATACTCATAAAAAAAAGTGCTAGTACCGTTTATGTCTCTTGTAACAATTTTATGTTCAATACCAAATGGGTCAGGGTCGACAAGAATAAGACATCTGGGTATCAGTTAGACTTGGTACTGTTCCCTGTATGGCGGCAATGATGCATGGGTATCTATAGGAGGTAATATTCGACACTGACACTAACAAACACCTGCCAGAGATAGAATGTTACCGTGACAACAGCTGCCAATGTTTGAATAGGTGGAGTAGTGTATATTGGGCATTATCTTAATCTAAAGACGATTTAGATAATTTTTGAAAGGATTTATTTGCTGGTGTTATGGGTATTGGTGTAAGATGGAGCCGATCAAATGATATGTTCTCCATGGTTATTGCTGACAGGTCTCTGCCAAATCAGCATCTCCATCTACCATATAAACCTTGGGTTGCACAGTTGTTCACAAAGTATCAAATACACAAGTTTAATTTGTTTATTCTTCTGTTCTTTTTTTTGGGATTTCGATCTTGATAATCTGAAGAATGTACACGGTCAGATTTAGAGTAATCATTATAATGCCGTAAACATCAAGGTCTTTTTAGAAACAGTCGTCAGAAAGACTTCAAAACGAACGAAAAGTAATTCATGTTTTTTTGCATTTAACTCTAAACATAAGTCTAAACATTTTCTTTGCTTCACAACTTCCCTACGCTCATCTGTAAGTCTTGGATAGAGAATAGTCCAATGATGGTTAAGTTATAAGCTCAAGTGGCGATACATTTAGCTGGAAGTGAATCCTTTTCAACTGTACACGATTACTTAATGGGCGGCTAAAACGCAAGCACAGAAATTGGTTGCCTGGTTGACGCTCAACAGTTAAACAATATTGCTACATTATCCATTATAAGATAAGTGTTATTACACATAATAATTCATCCTTATTTTCTCAGTGTTTTTACCGACACTATCATGATAGCTCAGCATCGTTTGTACATCTCCTATGTTATATTTCATTTCCACTGGTACAGATGCTGCAAATGCAGGATTCCTTAAACTACAAACTTACTCCTTTGTTTAACACCGCATCATGGTGAATCCCCGAGAATATATTGTAATGCAAAACTAAGCCAAAAGTGTCAAGACTCGACTTGTATACAACACACGAATTCAGGCCTAGCATTGAAGTTTATTTGACAGGTTATACTTACAATTCTTTTGAGCAATTGCTTGGCTTTTCCATGCGGTAACCGTTCGCCAGGACATAGTACAGATCTGCCAGTGCTATGTTTGTGTAAGGTGAACCACCTATTGGATGAAACAGAAACAATTAAGAAATCAGTAGTGGCATATCACTTAGCTCTCCTTTTTCTTTCTCTCTCCCCTAAACTCTACAAAGTCGCATGCAATTACGATAATCTGCAGACAGATGCAACAAGCTTGGTTTTAAATCTCTATTTTTATAATGCAACTGTCTGGTTACATGCCAACAAAAAATACTTAAAGGTAAGTTACACCTCTTTCCTTGTTAACCTACATTTTTTGTCAGTTTGAAGCCAGTTTCTTTTCATATTTTAGTACAATAAAAATATATTTAGACATGCTTTCTACATAAAAATGTCGAAAACGTTTATGTTAAAAGTGCAAGGTTTGAGTTATCAGCTGAATGCTACCTTTTTTACGGTTTTCGTTGATATTTTTTCTACGGAGCAAAAACAAGATAATCTCGTTCTTGTATTGCGCTTATCTACCAATGGAATATCCTTGGTGATACACATTTTTAATAATGCGTAAAGATTAAATAAATGGCTGTATTCTTAAGTAAAGTTTCACTAGTTGATAAATTAATACATAGATTAACAGGTACCAATAATGATTAGCAGGAACAAATATTAGCATGGCATACGTTTTTTCAATAACTCCTTATGACAGAGTTACACAGCGGCACATACCCATTGTGACGATCTCCCAAAGAAGTATACCAAACGACCAGACATCACTCTGAGTGGTAAAGATTCGGTCCCTCAAAGACTCTATGGCCATCCACTTGAGTGGAAGCTTTCCACTGGTCACTTTGTGATATTGATTGTCATTGTAGATGTCTCGAGACAGACCAAAGTCACACACCTTGACTACCTTATTATAGTCCAGTAAAATGTTTCTGGCTGCCAAATCACGATGGACGTATTTCTTTTCAGATAAATATTCCTGCAAGATAAAATAGGGTATAGCAGTTAGTATCATGCAGTTATCATCCCAACAAAGAGAGTCGTGAAGTTAATTTTCATTTACAGAGGAAGTAACATGTAGAGTGTGGCCTATTGTCTAAATGATTATGGGTTTACTATCCGTGGACTACGGTAATTCAATACATTTAGGAGAAGGATGCCTACGATAGATTAAAACGTCTACAACAAAAATATACTTCATGATATCTGTCTTTCCTAAGTTAATCCTTAACAACTTCAAATGATGCAACGCCCGTAATTATTGACCCTAGCTTCCACTCTGATACCGATAATGAGGCGAGCATGCAATGGATATCTTAATGCATATAAAAGTAGGTAGTAGTGCCAAACTTGCTGAACCTCTCAGATAGTTGTGTGTAACATCAATGGGTTGCATCTATTTTTTAACCTACACCTGTCATTTTTTTTAAAGGTGTGATTACACAAAAGCAATAAGTCTGAGGAAGCAGCAGATAGTCTTTGAACAAAACTATTGATTATGTTGTTTAATTACCCTTCTCTTTCTTTGTTTATTAACAAATGTCCATGTCATCAACCAAATTGCTTGGTTTATCGAAAAGCATGCTTGAACAATTAAACGTTTGTTTGAAAAAGTATCAAATGTTGACGAAAGATAAACCGGCACTCTATTGACAAACCAACGAATGATATATATAAAGCCCCTATATTCATATTTTTCGAACTCCCTCGGACAAATTACATCAGTTATATGCATATAGATGGCAGTTTCATTATGCATAGACATTTAGGAGGGGCTATTAAAAGACAAAAGTCTTTGAGAGTTTCAACTTTTAATATAAGACGTATGGTTGACTTTCCAAAAGGTTTTTAATCAGGCTTTTAGTTGTTTTCTCTTGTACAATGTTGTAGGCATGTTTATATCAGCAGTACGTCAATGACGAAATAAAAGTTCAGGTAAATTTTCGTTTTTGAACTGGAATGTTTGGTCGACTGTCTATAATCTTATCCACCGCTGCGAAATCTGTTAGATCAGGAATTGCACAAATAGTTAGCTGGATCCTATTTTCCTGTGGAACAATTTTTGAACCTTGGCCAAATATACAGGAAGTACCAAGCTAAATCTGTTTCAATTGATGAAAACGGCAATAAACGAAACCCTTATAAATGTAAACATGTCCGTATACTAGTATTTCTATATCCTTCCTGCTCATTTCAACCGATCTGAGTCATTAAACGCGTTAAAAATAGCAAGTTTTCTATGAGAGATTACCTTAGAATTGAAAAAGTCTGAACGCACCTAATAATCACAGGTAAAAACGATTTACAGGTGCAAACATTCACAAAAATGCTAGGCAAACTTTTGATTTATTTGATTTTTTTTCTGTTTTGAAAACTGTAAATCTTACACTGCCATCCACATGTGCCTTATAACATTGTATTTTTTTTTTACTTCTTAACAACTTTTTGTGTATCGAGCGAAAAACAAGTAACGTTGGCAATTACGTTGGACATAGATGGTGAAGCGAGTCTAGTTTGGCGGAGGAATGAGTAGGGCTGACATGCCTTACTCTCATGATTGATTTACCATTTGGTGAGATAATCCTAAGGCTACATAATCTCTCAAACAAAGAAAGTTAACAGCTTCTAAGTGATCCTCCAGCTGACTTTTAGTGAGCTGCAGTAAATCTAGATTGCACTGTTGGGACGGGAAGAGGATGTCTGTGAGTCTAGAAGGAGGGGACCCGTGCGTGTACTACAACTGGAGGAGGTCAAGCTCAGACGATGGGATTTAGAGGGATGGAGGGTGTGGTGAGGGAAACAAACTTTATGCACATGTTCATTCGATACTCAAGTATATAGCAGGTACTGCTTTGGTTGTTTAACCGACAGTAATATATCTTTAGTTATTTATGTTTCCAATACAAAGTTACACAAAAAGTAAAACATTTGCAACTAAGTTAAAAATAAGTGGCACACACAAATAATTATGGGATTATTCTGTTCGTAACATCTGCGTAGAAGATAGTTTTTTTTCCTTTTTGTTTTCAATTCCTATTTTAACTCTTTTTTTTGTTACAAAAAAAGTCCTTACCATTGCCATGGCAACTTGTCTAGCGAATGAAAGCATGTCTGCCGGAGTGATGACACCACTCTCGATTCCGCCGTTCACTCCGACGATCGAGTAGACAACCTCACTAGGGCGGCCAACACGCTTTTGCAGGTCACCTTCTAATCGACATTTCCTGAAAAAACAATAAGTGAACATATGATATCTATGTTGAATACTTAATTTATGTTCAGGATTTTCAAACTATCTTTATGTTGCCAACAGATAAAGCGGGTTGTACATCGGTCAGAGTATGTTCCTTTTGCCAATATGGTCGGGGCTCGACTCTTTGATCGGACAAGAAAAGGTGTCGTAACCTGACCGAGCGCGTGAGGTTTCACAGGGTACTTAGTTTCTTCCCACATTTAGACTCTTGATAGTTTTCAGTAGTGCAAAAAAAAGAGGAATCGATATCGAGTTGGCAAAACCTGTTTCAATATTTTCGTAAAATATATATTTGATGAACATCTCTACTAAACCATCGTTATTAAAACATAACTTTCTACACATCCTTTTTATGTTACATATTCACATAAACAGGTATCCCCCACAACGTTTCTTGTTGTACCCATTAATCTAGGTCACAAGAACTCTTCGTTGTGGACATTTACAGGCTGTAGCTGATGCCAATGTTTAACACAATAGCATACTAGCTGTACAAAGTTATGCTAATAGACAATTCTTCGATACAAAATACATCATTTTGCATACTTGAAATAATCTTTTTATTGTCTTGGCTAACTTTAGCATGAGGAAACCAATTACGTTATTTAGGAATTCAAAGCAAAAATAAGAACACTGGTCTGTAACGGTAAATCTTCTGTTGTTCTGCCCGACAGTTATGTATTGTGTCTATCCCTGCGTGGCAGTGAAGGCTCTGACAGAACTCATACACAGGTAGCAGTACAGGCAAGCAGTTATTTATACCTTTGTACATGGCACGTATATTGGAAATTACAGGAAACTCTTCAATATGCATATGCTGTGTCATCTGACACCATTGTGCATAGTAAGTCATTATAAAGTATACGTATGAGGAAACGGTCCGCTGACAAATAGAAAGATATGGTTCGAGGTACATGGAGTATATGTTATGAATTATGTAAACATAAAACATTCAATTCTTGTTTAACGTGATGTTGTATGAATCTAGGTAAATGCATATCCTGTATTCTAATATAACTACAACTGATAACTTATCGGCGTCAACACATAATGACAAAACTAGAAGCGACGGTAAAAGCGATGTAAATGGTTCAAAATTACGCATATGCATATTTACAGTGTAAACTATAGAACAAAGGGGGATTCAATGAGACTTATAAAGAAGAGGGAATAATTTAAATTCATAACTCTGTCCACCGTAAATATAAATAGTAAACCCCATACTCTATTCCTCCATCAACTATTTGTTGATACTCCATCGCGGTGGGAGTGCTTGCCCTGACATTGGTCGACCCGTAGAAGAGCAGACCTACGTATACCGATCGCAATCTTCATGTTATATTCTTAATGGTCAATTACACCTGACAGGCGTCACTGAGTTGGACATATCTCTGGTTTGCCACCCCCCCTCCTCCAATCATTCTGGCAAAAAGTGCCCTTATGTTCTCCAGTGTTTCCCTGGAATGCATTAGGATGAAGTATTCTGCACGCAATGTTTCGCTTTGTGCTTCGAAACATATTATATGGATGGGTTCAGTTTAACCCATCTGTCATGTTTTGGGGCTCCCGAAGTATTTTGAATCTTGTTTTTTATCATATTAAAGGTATAATACTTCGGGTGAGCTTGTATAAGAATTCTTATATATACCCCACAACATCACGGTCTTCGAATACCTGTGTATAAGTATTATTACGGAACTCGGACCTCACAATTCCCTATAGACTTGTGGGTTACAGTTCTCATTACAGCAATGTTTTGCTCTGTAACATAACTCTGCTTTTAACAACATAATATGCCTGAGATGGTCAAAGCGGTTGTAAATGGAACATAAATCAAAGATATTACGTTTCACATATCGCAAAGAATTTGTAAAAGTATCTTAACTTTGCATAAAAGTATTCAAGAAGTGTACTGATCCCTCCATATGATGTATAAACGCACTGAAATACATACATTGCACTTATTCTATTCCGTCTGTGTACCTGTTATGTGGATTCCAATGACAAGAAGAGCTTTAAGTATCAAAACGGATATTTCTGGTTCTTGCTCATCTAAACGGAATTTTAATTACCACAGAGATATGCAGTTTAAACATATTATAATATTTGACCTGTCATTTCTCGATATGAAGGAAGTATCAACGAATTTCCGATTTTGTTTTATATATATATATCACCATTAATGTTCTTCATTTTGTTATGGTTGAGCCTTAAAATATGCAAGAGGATAACGTTGGATAACACCAGATGATTCGCCCCAGAATAATTGTTTCTTTTATTTAATTTGTTTACGAAAAGTGAATATATATATATTTCTATATATAACTGATGTGTGAAAGAGTAAAGACCACTCGGATGAAGTGATGTAAATATATATAAAACATTAGATAGCTTTCGTGGTCTCATATGACCCTAGCCCATATGAATACGTTCAACCCCGAACAAACACACAAACAAACTTGCATTGTAGGATCAAGAGAAGTACTTTTTACCGGGGAATTTTCGCCAAGTTAACGTCGCCCTTCACATTTAATCATTTTGTTTATTATGCTGTTTACTTATATTCTATGTAAAACATACATTCACCCTCATTACGAAAGGTGAAAATGCGAAAATTAAATTTTTGCGAAAACTTATCAGTATCAATTAGCCATTTTATGTTATAAGTTTGCATGAACTGATTTTTTGAGGCTCATTGACAATTATCAGGTTAAGCATTCAACAAATTTAATATCAAATCATCTATAAAACGCGACCGTAAGTTAGTATACAAAATTCTTTAACAATCGACGCTCAAAAGCACTAGCTGTTAACTGTTAATTTGATGCAATATGGTGTATATTACGTGTCACATTAAATATTTTCATTGAAAAAAAAGATTAAATGACGTAAATGTACTACGACGGTAATTCAGGAAAGTAAAAAAAGTGGTATAGATCACCATGTGACATTAGTATGTACTTAGTGAACTTATACCTGGCAACCGTACTTCACTTTATGTTGCTTGGGACTGACATGTGTTCACTGCATGTCAATGAGTTATGCTACACAAACATGACACGTTATATATTGCATGCAACTGCTATGTAGATAATACAAAAAACTTGACAACAACACACTAACTGTATTTTGTATTTGTACCAGTGAGAGAGCTTGCTGGTACAATACAGCACCGATGACAGGACTCATTGTTTATCAGCAGCAGCAGAAGATGACTTGAAACTCTCAAAGCATATTTTGCGAACGGAGACATACTTTACAAAACATCGAAAGAAACTTTGTCCTCAAGAATTTTAAGTCGATCAACCTATTTTCCAGCCACAGTAGCGACTGACATCCAAGATTCCTGTTTTCTGTCAGGTGAACTGTTTTCTGTCAGGTGAACTGTTTTCTGTCAGGTGAACTCAAAAGAAGATAACCTTGAGTCACTGTATCCCGACCCCCCTTCATCAATGTCAGCTACATAGCAGAGAGATTTATGTCCATGTTAGATGTGTGTTTGTGTGCTCTTACACGCCTTATAACTTCTGCAGATGTTCTACATAATCCTTACAGTGACTTAATAATCAGCATTCATTTCCATTCTTAATGGTTTCTTTATTGATAAAAATCAGTAACAAGACCTGGTTTTATCTTACCCCATCCCGACCCCTCCCCCCGCACCTTCACATTCTACCTAATACAGTACCTTTCTGAATTATAAAGAGATGTTTCGTCATTGACAGTACTTACCTCTCATTTCTGTAGTCAAAATAATAGGTTAAACAGGAAATGAATACGAGGAAATTTCAAATATTGCAAATATGTGTTGGAGGCTTGAGAATGTTAAGACGTTTGTGAGCTTTAGAGAGCACTAATTGGGTTTTTAAGTACTGTTCTACCTAAAATAAGCGTAACCCCTGCAGAAACTTAACCGTTGTTGACATTGGAGAGAGCTCCATCTTGTTAAGTTGATAATTTACTCTGAGAAGAATTCTCGTTATTTTCCCGCACTGCTCTGCCAGTATTCCCTGATAAACTGAACAACCTAGTAATAGATAAACTCAACAACCTAGTAATAGATAAACTCAACAACCTAGTAATAGATAAACTGTACAACCTAGTAATAGATAAACTCAACAACCTAGTAATAGATAAACTCAGCAACCTAGTAATAGATAAACTCAACAACCTAGTAATATATAAACTCAACAACCTAGTAATAGATAAACTCAACAACCTAGTAATAGATAAACTCAATAACCTAGTAATATATCAACTTTGAGCCCATGATTATAGGGTTATATGCTACCAACAACGTCGTATAACACTATGTGGTCACTCTAACAATACAATTTGTCCAAGCAATTCAATAATGCAATAGTAGCACATAAATTATGCATGGATTCGAAAGACATGAACATTTAACTTGAAGCGAAGTGAAACGAGAGTTGGATGCATATGCTTGTTAATGAGAGGTGTTGAAAGGAAATTTCTCTTTTTACATGTTAAGATATAAAACTTTCTCAAAAGTGGAACAAGACACTAGCGGAACAGTCCAAAAGAAATCCATAAATTATCTCGACTGTGAAATTAAGACCGAAACACATGTAAAGACATGCACACTTTGGCCATCGACTGTGGTGGTTCTGAAAAGATTATATTTCGAAATGGCAGTGATGCATTCACTTATCAGATCCGCTATACAACAGTTTATGAACTAAGCAAGATATAACGGGAAAACAAGACCCTTCTTTTTTTCTACAAGGAATATTACCACTTTTTATGACTTCTATATTGGCTTTTTTCTAAATCATAAAATGAAATTAACACTCACTTATCATTTTGACATTAAACAGAGCATTATGTTGAGCGTGTTAGTTATCATCAAGCTTGGTGTACACATGTTTTAAACAAACTTGTTATTATAACTTGAGAGATGTTTCAAATACTTAAGAGTGGTAAATATTTAGTATTGCATATTAGTACATCAAGTTCAGATTTATTTTCATTATTTTCATTTAGTGGTATATCTTTGATTATTGGCTTATTTTATTGTTTGCAATAAAAAAAAAATACATAATATATAACGTGAATTATTATTACATGTACAATTCCATAAAGTATCATCGGATAGTTACACATAGTTGTATAATACCAGTGGGAAACATTCTAGTTTAATCAGATGACACATAATCACAAACGTTAATTGTGATATCATATTCATACATTAATTACAACCATATATATAGCTTTTCAAACAATTTAATCTCTCTTTTACATACAGGATCTGCACTACACATGTTGTAAATATTTAGTGTGTAAACGTGTAATGGAAACCTTTAAATGAGAAATCGTTGGGGGTTTTGTGAGAGTGTAAGATAAAGACTTAATGTATGCGAGTTAATGTACACTTATTTCCAATTTGTTATATAAACCAAATGTGCATCGCTTTAGCCATTAAAAAGTGAGGAAACAATCTTTACTAATAGCAAATGCCATATCTCTTAGTGTGTTTACATAGCAGATAAAATATCTTATCTTGTTTTAAGCTCGAAGGGTCTGTGCAATTTAGCGAGCAGTTGAAAAACTTGAGCAAAGTGTCTTTTTATTTGAAAGCTATAAGATGAAAATGATTAAGGATTGGTATTAATTGCTAACATAAGAAGCTGTCTTCTTCCTTTGTGTGCAAACACATGTCATGAATTATGGAGGTGAATTATAATTGCCGAACAAAGTGTAAGCAAATGCCTGGACATAAAAACGGTTTTCAGGACTATATAAATGTATTATGATGTGTGTACTTTTAAATTTAACCACTAGGTACCTGTTGTCCTCGGGCTCTAATCGGGAGGGAAAGAGAAGGGGGCACTGCCTTTGATGTTGTCTTCAGTACGGTTTCCCATGTTAATGCCAACGAATTACACATTTATTGCATAGTAAGCTTGTTCGAAGTAACAAACTAATTTTCAACTTTACACTGATGGGGGTTATATTTTTTGCATAGATGAATTCATAGTTGAAAGTTATATATTACATCAAAAAGCAATTTATTTCTGACTAGTTCAATTAAAATTAAGAAGTGTCTGCAGCACCTGTTCATCCGGAGGTTTACTGGCATTAATGCAATATAAGTTATAGGCCGAAAGAAGAGAGGAACCTATAACACGTTACTGGAAATGCACGTACAGTTCGCTGTTGATTGATCAGTTACATATCTGGTTAGTTGTAATAACTGAATAAAAGCTCAACATACCCTCCCCTTAATGACTGAAACTGAGTTCCTTTGTTTGTTTTCATCACAATATTAAAAAATACTTTCCTGCAACAGTTTAATTATATAACTGCTGACTGAACTCCTAGCTTACGCAACATACGAAAACTTCATACATGACCTCAAAATGCTAGAGGTCATAAGAAACTCTACAGACCGATCAATGAGAGAAATAACATGACATTAAACAGACCAATCAATATCAGAGATTATAACGGCACCACACATAACAACCAAAAACAAAAAGGTTAAAGGTCGTATGACTCTCAATGCACTCATGAAAACAATAAAGACGAGGGGTCACATGGCTATATACAGACAATCCAATGTCAGAGGTCAATGCACGCCTCATCAGACCAATCAATGCCAGAGGCCTTGTCAGCCTTCCACGGGTCTGTCACACTTACACACACACACTTGTACTTTATATGTTACATTGGTTGTTTTCTAGCCATTCCTTTATCTTTAACAGCCAGTTTACCACCGACTACCAGAGATTACGATTCTTAGATCACCCACTTCATGTTGACATCGGGCTGTCAGAATTAAATGATATCAACCTCCATGAACAGACAGACAGACCAACTGGCGTTAAGATACCGAAAAAAATGGTGAAGTATTACCTCCTTAGCTACAGATAGGACTTTGTTATCTTTCCTATATACATCTGTCAAGGAGCACCATCAACCAGAAGACAACATCGCCAGGGGGTTTCTGCAACTCCTGTGCAACTGTTCTTCGTGTCACAGTCTGAACGTTATTGGCTCAATATTTTGAAATCCACCAGTTGGCTCCTTTGAGCTGAGAGATACCCTTGCACAACGCCATCATAATTATATCTTTTCCAGCGAAAGTCTAACCAAGATACTGACATACTGATGCCAGGCTTTAACAAAATATCAATACTTTCCTATAAGTGTATCAAAATACCTAACTCTATGATTTTATCACCGAACTTATCAAAAATTATATATCTTTATTTCAAAATTACGATTTCAATGACGTACATATGCATTTCATTGAAACAGGCTGGGCGCTGACGCTGGAATGTTGAAATTGGACCATTATAAATAAGGTTTTACGATAACTTTGTTGACATATTAAAATACGTTTTCTTAAACCACTTCAATGTTCCAAGCCTTAGATCATCATTATCTACAACTGACACTAAATAAAGGTTATGTTGTGACTACACCGGTCAGAAGATTTTGGCACAAACATAACCTCAATGAAAACAGTTTATGTAATAGTGTCTAGCATTTGATAGCACATCAAACATGTGTAAATTTGTTTATGCTGCACTGGACATACAGTCTAAATAAACAAATTAACATTAGTATTCGCCTGATAATTGTAAGGATGATTACGATGTTAAGGACCTACAAGTAGTGCAGGTGAGGAAAATTGAGATGATTATTTACGTTGACATGATGTATCATGAAATACCAATAAGTTTATTTCTGAAAAATAGAACATGAACAAAAAACCCAAAGCAAAACAAAAACACAAACACTAAGTCATGTTCGTGCAATGAGTATATATTAAGGTACTATATTAGTGGTTCTTAACAGGTAATGCCAGATTAGTGGTTCTTAACAGGTAATGCCAGATAAGTGGTTCTTAACAGGTTATGCCAGATTAGTGGTTCTAAACAGGTAATGCCAGATTAGTTGTTCTTAACAGGTAATGCCAGATTAGTGGTTCTTAACAGGTAATGTCAGATTAGTGGTTCTTAACAGGTAATGCCAGATTAGTGGTTCTTAACAGGTAATGCCAGATTAGACGGCCCCAATATAAAAGTGTTACCAATGGTCTGTACAGAAGGCAACAGGTGTTCCAAAGCTGCATGATAACTTCGCCTCACAGTCTCGAAGAAATCACTAGATTATATATTTTGTGTGTGCCATTTTATGTTGACAAAACATGCAACAAGATGATTTATTTTCCAAATGTTCAAAGAGGTTACAGAAACTCTCAAGAATGTTGATCATGTTACCTTTGTACAAGCAAATTTTGTAATCAATTTCATCTAAACAGGAAGCTTAAACAAAACACCACCGCAGACATTCTGCGAAGAAGAAGTGAAGGTCATAGGCCATAGCCTATGACCTTCACCTATTCTTAGCAGATTTTACATGTGAATGTTATCACACTGTACATATAATGAACCGCTACCTGTCGCAATATGTCATATACAATGATAAGGTCACTGTAACAGTTTCCATAACAAAACATGACAAGGCCGTTTCTGGTACATAATCACAAAATCTGTACGGAGAAAAAAATGAAGGCAAACTTACTTGAGAAAGTTTTGTAGGTTGCCATAGGGAACATACTCCATCACCAAGGCGATTGGTTCCGTGAGAGTGCAGGCTCCAATCATGGATACAATATTTGGATGAGACCCTATCCGTTTCATCAGATTGATTTCTGCCAACAGGTCCTCTTTGTAGGACAGAGGTGCACTGTCTGTAAACATCACATTGAAATGTGTAGAGGCATGCAGAAAGTATAGAAATCTAAATTCTGGAATATTAAACGTTCGGTGTCGCTTAAATTTTAAAACTGAAAATCCGCAAATTATATTTTCAAAGAAAATGACGATCTGGCTATTGTTGATGCATATTTATTAAGAAGTCGGAAGTTCAAATATGAACACACGCAGTGATATGTATATTTATGAACAAATGTGACATATAATAAACAATGGAAGTGATATCCTTATAAATAATATCATGAAACTATCATGCAAACCCTATCAAAGGATTGTTAACATTTTGCGACTATTCATTGTACGCATAACTATTGTCCATCAAATTTGATAACTTTTGTGAATACTTGTTTATTAACAAGTAACACTGTTAACCATATTGTTTTGGTTTAAATATGTGGATAATGAAAAGTAATGTAAAAAAAAAACTTTCGAGTTTGGTCATTTGGATATTTGCCATGATATCTCCATATGAAACACGATTACGAATAGGCATCATTTTTCCCTTCATATTTCTCATATGCTGATATTTTTGTAACAACATCTACACTTCATACCTCCGCACAACACATTAATGAGAAAGATGTGCATTCATGCAGCTTTCATCCACCCAGTATTAATATACGTTTTCTTTCTGAAAAGGATTTGGTAAAATTCCAAATATGAATTAATATGGTATTAAGTGTGATAATGAAGAGAATGTTGCACAAGTTACAATTTAGTATCGAAAGTATATCAAATCCTTGAATCAGTTTACATCAGCTGTGCGGGGCAATTTTCGAGCAGTGGAATTTTTATCGCTAAGACTATCAGAGGAAAGAAAGTGAAAATGGTTTTCAAAAGGATTTCGGTAATAATGCTTCCAATTATGTATCACTTCAAAAAACAAGCTTTCTTGATGGTAATAAAGAACACCCTTATGATATAAGCTTCTCGCCTCTCCCAGCTAGGCCTGATAACATGAGCTTTTATATCAAACTGTTAGTTCCTTAACCACTTTCATATGGCCATACGTAATGTTACTACAGCTTTAAACAGATACAAGGATATGCTTTTTCTATCTCAACTGTTGCTTGTTATAAAAAACACCTCTAATAATTCAAGCACCTGTTTTGATCAAAACGCAAGTGGAATGTCGGTCATTAAAATCGCCGTACCTTTATGTATTTTAAACAGACCTCATATATTATTAAAATATTAATGTTTGATATGTTGAAGTAAATATCCTTGTACATGTGGTCAGCTATTTTCTGGAAACGTACACATATTGGTCACGTATCCATTGTATTGAAACAACCAATTGATAATGGTTCGTTGCTGCACAGGGTGCACCTGTTATCGTGATTATCTACTTATAATATATGTGAGATGAAGTTGTACCTATGTTTCATGATCTTGCCCTATCGCAGAAATTGGCGTATATGGTTAGCCTACAAAAGTCTGTTGACCAATATATTCTCACACACTACGTGCCCAACAGCTTACACATCTTTCCCTTTAATCTTCAGTACAGTGCTATTTATGATTCTATAATGATTGACTCCTCTAAGAAATCATATACTTGAGCACTGCAGAGTGTGATAACCTCTCCCGTCCAGCTGTTATGTACAACATTACAAAAATGTTATTATGCATGCCTTCGTCACATCCTCGTTTTAACACTCAGACACTTGGTAAACTCTTACACGACCAATCACTGCGATACTGTCAGCTGTTTGATGTTTTGTATCCACACACGATTAGGACATATGTACTTCTATGCAGCATCTCCTCCAATGAATTAGTGCATCTCAACTGTCGTCATCTTGCTTGCTATTTCAGAGCTGCACAGATGTTTGGTTAGTATTGACTGTTGCACACATGCCTACCAGAGGAGATGTCCCAGTTATCATAGAGGCATGGAGTTGTGTTGATTTGTCAGAAGACCAAAAGGCCTTGCGAGCTATAACGTGGTTATGTAACGACTATGTCAGTAATTTAAGGGTGTTTGATGTGTTGAATGACTGTACTTACTCGGTCATAAACTGATTACAGTACTGCAGGGTACTGTGTCATCTCACTGCTTACATGTGTACCTGTGTATTTGGTCCTCTGTAATATATGACTCATTTGTCTTATAGACATATGGCATCTATGCGTTGTCCCTCTTACTATCTGGAAATGTCATTGCCCTCTTCACATATAACATACTGAATCATTTACGTATGTATGATATGTACATTAATGTAACATGTACCTTCCCCTTGTTAAAGTACCAAAGTACTTTTCACAGGACCCAACGGTCGTAAAATCCTCCACATGGATCAAGATCAGTGTAAGTTATAGCAAGTAAATCTGTTTGCCGTGATAATCGTAAGAAGTGTACATTTCTTCGCTGTTCCTTTGAATAACCTCTTTTTTAACTGACTTACCTCTGACAAGTTTGATAGCAACCCTCGACTCCTTGTAAAAACCGGTGACGACTTTGCCAAATGCTCCTTGCCCTATGGGACTGGAGAACTTGAGGAACCGCGGATCCAGTTCCCATTCATCGCTCATTACCAGTAGCTGGTTAGAATAGTCTACTTTGCCTGTAATTCAATAACAAATCATATTTAGGAAATAAATCGGTCTTGCTTTGAAAAATAAATGTCTTGAATAGGTTATGCCTTGCATAGAAAACTTGTAGCGATATCAAACTCAAGTTATATATTGCATAGATTTTTTCCCTTCAGACGACCAAAATACGTGTGATTTGGTTGTGTAGGGATTTCAATATCTAAAAAAATAAACAATCGCAATATTGTAATACAGTATGTAGCTTAGAAAAACTTGACTAGCCGCTAATGAGAGGCTAAATATACTAACATTGATAACTCGTTTTGCTCCAGATTTTCTAAATATAGATTAAGTGTATGTAACAATTTAGGAAACATTTATGTAAATTCATTATCTTATTAAGTTTCGTTTTAGTTTAACTAGCGTAACAAATGAGGGTGCCTTCGGTAGCTGTGAATGCCCCCCTTAATACATCTGTGTATAACATATTTATATATCTGGTAAGATCTAGACCAGTTACAGCATTCCGTGGAGCTACCGTCCATGGACTAGTACATGACGACTACATAGTGTATCAGGATAAATAGATACAAAAATAGCATAGTTGGACAGCTGATGCACTGTGTGACCCTGGGATACAGAGGCTGGGGGAGTGAGGAGGCTACAGAGAGATAGATACTGTCTAGGAGAAGCATGTGTTGTGTAAAACACTTTTGACAGTAGTAGTGATGATGTATAGGGCATACTTAATCCTTCTACACTTGTTAGCCACACAAAAGTGAAACTATGTACAAGTTTATCCAGTACAACGAACCTTGAGACACACTCCGTATACAAATCTCACATGCTTTGTTCAACAACTTGTACATTCCATGTTCATAAGGAATAAGGTAGTATGTATGTGTTGTTTAGTCTCGCCAGATAACTAAAACTGAAATCACAAATACATGTGTATAACAGTCATGCAATGGTTTGTATTTTAAGAGAAAAAAAAATATCGCTTTTTTTTCCTATTATAATCTGATCCCATCCCCCTTTTCTCCTTTGATATTCTATTTCGAATCATAGATATGTAAATATTGAAAGTAACCTTTAAATCTGGATTATAGAGTATACATAAAAGTATATTGTACTCGAAACTTCAAATGCAATCGTCGTGAAGGACATGCAACTGTGGATATCTGATTGTAAGTTAAGTTACATGCAGTTCAAATCGTACATCTTCTATTCTGATTAAACTACTTCATCAACGAAGGAGTTGTGAAGGTTATCGTTTTGTTGATCACATGATGTAGTACTTGATCACGTGACGAGATACTTACATCCCACGTTGGACTTGTAGCTGTTACTCTTTGCCACGGCTGTTTTGGTGATAATGATGTCTTTGAAACTCTGCCGTTTCATGTAAATGAATAAGACGATCAACCCGACCATGACAACTGTGGCTATACAGGTGGCGGCGACCACGATGTCATTTAACTTCTTCCAGCCGATATCTAATCAAATAACATAGCAAAATGCAAATACTTTCGATTTTTTAGGAATAAATGGTGAGCCGCCTACTTTAAGCATAGTCTAATTTAACGCAACAGATTGTACCTAAAGTTAACTTAAGATATCGTAGGTTTTACTTTTAATCAGTTATTTTGCAAACCGGGGAATACAGAGAACAAAGTTTTTTGCATATAACTGGTGTAAAATGCTATAAACTCATGTTATAAATTGGAGTGTTGCCAAAATAACTTTAGAAAAATCAAAGGCAGCGTAATGTACAAATAATGGTAGGTATTACAGATCCCTATTTGTGAGGAGATCTTTAATCAAGGCGTAGAATCTAATTGGACGAGGAAATGAATACAAGGAAGTAAAGTCTCTATATGATTCAATAAACTAAAGATAAATAGCAAGGCATCTTCCAAATTTGTTTCATATGAAGTGAGACATGTAGTATTATGGAGGAAAACCCTTGCAGACAATGGGTAGACAACACACGGATGCTTTCTGTATAGATACTGGTACAGGTGGTGCTTTATACAGTAATTTACAACGAAAATGTAAGCATTATATTCTACGGGCATACATATATAATAACATTGGTGTGACAGATATTTGGAAAACAGGGGTCGTTGGCCATATCTGAATTCAAAAATTGAAATGGCACATAATATTTGAAAATTAGTAGATATATATTTTGGGAGAAATTGCCCATTAAAATTAATAAAGAATAGAAAAATATCCTTTTTTGGGATCCATGAACGTAACGCCGAAAATATTCACCTCGACTATCTATGACTCGCTGGGGTTCCTTGTATACAAGCATGGCGTCGGTGTTATTAGTATCGAAGAAGAGATATTCACTTGTGTACGTCTGTATTAGGCCATCGATGTTCGAGTATTTCACAGTGCCCTAAATAATACAGAAAGTTTACAAAAAATTATAAACAAAACTAGAGATACAAATTACAATATGGAAAAAAGTAATTATGTTTTCTCGTAATTAATTTCAAAGTTAACAAAATGTGTAATAGGAAGCGATCCACACTTACGAACTGAGGGACGGAGAAATTGACCGGCAAACACATAAAACACCTACCAGCATGACGTAATTGAGGTGTGGTTTAAGTTCCAGATTTATCAGAGCGTTGCTGAAGATGGTTTTGGTGAAGTTGCGCCTTCCCCCCTCAGTGTAGGGCTGTTCAGGTGTCTCCTGTACCTTCCAGAAGACCTCGTAGTACAGGATATTGGAAGCGTTGAAGGGCACCGTCCAGTTAAAGGTCACTTCCACACTCTTAGTCATTTCATTGTACATCATCTGCACCAGGCGAATATTCCAGCGCAAGTTTTCTGCAAAACAAGCATAATCATGAATAGAAAATTAAAAACAATATATTAATACAAAACAATTATATCATTAATTAATCATACGTATTAAATAATTCGTACTAAAACAAAGTGTATGTTGTGATGTTAACTGAACTAAAACGGTATGCCGTACATTTGAAGCACACGTTAAATGTCAGCACATTTTTGATTTACCAAACATTCAACAGAAACAAAAAAGTTAGAATATATTTAAAATCACAGTTGCTTTTTATACAAAGTTCTTTTTGCAAGATGTGATCTAACTATGTGATATATGTATTGCTAAAATGCTTTCAAAATGCACTCCATGATCCGTACGACATGTAGAAGTGCTAACGACAGACGTAGATATGTTATATATAAACCCTTTCAGTCCCTTGTCCTCTGATCTGGAAAAGTGTAGCTAATGAAAACAAGGACTGAGATCAATCAATGTTACACATCTTTACCAGAAAAATAGCCCAGAAGTGAACGCCCTGACAGTCCTAGATGTTGTAGTAACGACTGACCTAAGTCTTGTCAAAATGCTTAGATCTGAAAATAGCATGACTTCAATTGTTACATGTCTGTCTCTCCTAAACATTTTGTCCCTGAAATCCATCATTACGCGTGTAACATCAATCTAATTTGAAGGGAGACCAAGTAATAAGGCAGGTGAGCTTTAACTTCATGTAAACCCAAGCACATAACTTTTTACTGAAGCCATACTAATTACTTACAGATCTACCATTTTTTTCCAGATAATCATCCCATTTTTACATCGACAACCACTTCTTACTAAATAGGGGTGTGCATCATCACATAAAACGCCACGCTAAACTCTACAAAGTTCAAACTAAAGTGTTACGCCTCTGAGCAATCAAACACAGCAACGTGGTCTTATTTATTCTTTTATCCTGTTCTCTTAAACACGATGTAACGCGGAAAGTTTGACGTTTTTTGTTCCCAGCTCAGCAATAACAACGTGTAGAGTTATATTTTGTTAGGTATGTACCATCCATATACTATGAACACTGTAATTCATGTATATAATGCTTATTTTTAGGATCGAAACGAATAACGAATGATTAAAGTTTCTTGGTTAAATGTTTCTGCGCGAATATCCTCCCGATTTAACCTGAACATAAGTTGAAGTGATTTACAATATATTAATAATGAAATCAAATTGTGCTCACTCCTCAATTTATAATTGTCTTTACATGTAACATCCACAATAACAGCAATTCACATATTAACAAAGAGTAAAACTCTTTATTGATTGAATTCAATTGCGCAAGAACATTAGTCTTTTTCTGCGTTTTCTGTCGCGTATATGTAGGCCATTTTTGCAGATTCTAAGATGTTGTACTAAACCTTGTATACCGACAGAACCAGACTAAATAGTGTGTGCAGTCTCTGTTCAAAAATTACATATTATAAGCAAAAGAGCAGATCAGTTTCTGTAGTGTTTGTACATCGCTAGGCTTTGTTTTCATTTCTAAAGACGGTCGAAAAACGAGACATCAAGAACACCGTTGAAGAAGATTAATAATATTATAGGTACGATTGTTTTTATTTGTTTTATGTTGAGTGCATGGTGCTGGTCTAATAGCAAACCATTTCCAAAATACTTTATCAGCATGTCAATAGCCTTTGATACGTTAATACAGTAAACCTCGTACCTTCTGAGGAATCCTCTGAGTAGGGAGTAATAGTAGAGAAGGACATATCTGGAGGGCAGTACTTAAATGTCTCCTCGTCTACATCAAGACAGAAAGGTGTGAGGAAGTCTTTGTCCTGGCTGAACACATCGGTCTGATCCTCGTACTCTACCATCACCATATACTGCGCATTGTACATCACCTCCCTACTCGATGACGGCTACAACGCACACAAAGGAAACTAAAGTGGTGCGACCATCACGTGTGTGTGTACCACGATAACTATTGTGATGACCAAGAGTATGGGTACCAGTACCGTTATAAGTACAGTAAAATATAACTGATTTGGTATGTGAAACCTACAGATACAATGCAACCTTTCTTTCGAATTCATTATGGCCATATTTACCACTGAGCTATAGAACTCTTTGTAAGATAAGATATGGTTATAAATACTTTATTACAACAAATTACCATGGGACGTATTTATGAAACTATACTAAGTGTCATGCAAAGTTCAAGAAACCAAGATGTTTACCTTGTCAGAGAGACGAAAGAAGACTTGGTATTCAAAATATTGGGGAGGTATATTGCAATGCGGACTGTCCTCAAATATGCCGCATTCTTGCAGAAAGATGTGTACGGAGTATGGAATTTCTTGGTCCGCATGAGGCTGGATATGACTTGGATGGTCCCATTCAATTAGTGCTGACACTTTACCGTCTGGGCTCTCCAGCATCCGTACAGTTAAATTCAGCTTTCCCGTGGACGCCACTCCCCTCACCTCATCAACATCTTTAACTGTCATTGCTGGAATTAAAAAACGACTTTATATTGACAGCTAAAATTGTGTTTTTATAGTGTGATTTCAGAAACATAAAATGTCTATCAGCTCCCCATTATTTCATTAGCTGCCTTATATATTGGAAACGAAATATTCTCCAGGTGTATCATTTCTAAACGGGAATATAACTTACATCCTTCAATTGGTGAATAGCCTGCATCCACAAAGTTGTCTACTCTGGTCCCGTTCTTGTTGACAGCCATTAGCCAGAACTCAGGTGAAAAGGGTAGATCTGATTGAGATAAGGCAACTGTTTCGGACGACGTCTGTGAAACAAAAACCAAAATTTAGTAACGTTGTATTTGTTTGGACATGTTTACTATTTACATTCAGGTGTATTGAGTTTGTCAATCGTATTAGAGATTTACCCTATTTAGTTTCAAGATTTAGTTTATTTGAGTTGTGCCGCGTGTTGTTTTCTCAAGGTCGAATGGTAGGAGTTTTATCTATTTTTTTCAAGGTCGACGTTATGAATTTTTTTCACGTCCATTGACCAGGTCGGCTGTCGTTATTATTTGTCGTGTTCATTTGAGTTTTTTCAATATTTCCATGTCCAGTTTGTACGATTTTTATCATATTAATCTTAATCATTTCTTGTTTTAATTTAAACATTTTAAAATGATAAGTCTGGTGTTCCCGCCCATACAAGTATAATATGTCTGTCATGTAAACATTTAGCACACCCTTGTAATGTGAGCAAATCAAAACCGACCTACTCATCCAGTTTGATATTCAAAGTTTCCGGGGACACCTATGCAACTGATAGAAGATGCATTCATTATTAGACGTGTTTTACAGATACTAATGTTGTATAATGTCTAAACATTTGACTTCGTTTCACTTCGATATTATAAAAAGTGGGAAACTTTAAAAATTAAAATTGTGATTTTGAAAAGTTGCAACTATTTCTATATAGTCAGGTATAAGTGTGCTAGCCAACCGACCACGCCAACTGCAAATCAGGTTTCCTAGTGCAAAACAGATGTTAAAGCACTGCATATTAATCAAGGACGTGTCTTTGTACCAATAGTTAAAGCGTTATACACTAATGAGGCGACAGCTTATGTGTTGACCAGGTTTCGTGCACACAGACCAAGCTAAGCTTTTCTGCACAGTCCACACTAAAGAGTAATTTTCTGTGTAATTCCCAGTTAAACTCTCTATGGTTGGGGTAAGCTCACTGAACTGTGCATGTTTCTGGTGTGTTCTGTGCTCGAGTAATTACCTACTCCTCCCGTACTCTGTACACGGTCATGCATGCATTTACCGGGATGATTCATTTTTCATATGGACGTAATGTTTTGCGCACATTTTTTATATGTGGTGTCTTCAGTCAGAAAGAAATTAATGATCTGTTTAGTTGTAGCATTTTACGTCCCACCAAACATCAATAAAGTATCAGACCACCAATTGGTTCCACAATTAAATGGACCATGACCGTGGTTGAGAATCAGCACTCTCCTTTTTCTTAAAAAGTCTGTACTGAAACACAACCTTGGGCAGAACTGTACAGAAAGTGTCCTTATATACACAGAGCAATCCGTCTTAAAGATGTATGTTTTTATATATATGTCTTAATGAAAAGGAACACAGGTGTGAAACAATCAATACATGTACTTCATTATTCTGCCTCAAATCTTCTGGGACTAAATCAAGGTGAAATGATTAGGTAGAGACAAAAGTATGGATTATTTTTTACTTGATTACAAATCCTGACCTGGAGCTAGGTTTACCTGGTTATACAGACTACATCCACATCTTCCTGATAACACTGATCAGTGTCAAAACCTGACACACATGCCAGTACATATAAACATGTAGCAGTAGATGTATATTACAAATTTGTATCCATATAATAATTTTGCGATATTTTAGGGCTAGTGGATAGTAAATTGAACCATGAACAAATATGAAAATGTGTGAATTCCGTATCACAATTAAATGTCTATAATGTTTAAAATGTATTATTGTAACTCCTTAATTGTAACAAATGTAATTAAAATAATGTATATATACATATATGATCAAGTTGGTATGGGCAACTGGCCATTCATTGAGTCATTTGACAACTGCCAGTATTGGATCCTTAATAGTGCTATTAAACGTTTCCCCAAAAAACCCACTTTTAATGTGATTTATATTTTGGAATGATGTCATTCCATTAGAATGACATAAAGAGGCAGTAAGCAAAACTTAACGTTATATGATGAACCTAGCTCTGTACCACACCGATGTACACTCTTTGAATCCCTCCGCCAGTGGATACATGTAGACACGTCTTGTATTTTAATTAGACCAAATGGTTACAAATTCCACACGCTGTGCCATCCTGAGCATTGGAATTATCCCTGCGTGGTTTTCATCATCATCATCAACAGGCAGTGCCAAATGTTCTGCGCTGTAGTAAACTATTCTGCGTAGAGGTATATATGTCAAATTGTACAGTGTCCACGTGCCGCTTTGTTTATTTGTAAACAAAGTTTATAATACTCAATATTAGGTAGTTCAATGTTGTGGCAATGAAGGGTCTCTGGTAAGACATATCCTCACTGCCTAGTGAGGTTTCTAAACAGTGCTATAAAGGGGCACCTGGCTATCTACTGATGGAGGGGGAGAAATCTTTATCACTATACGAGGGAATCAAAACCTTGGCGCAGGGGGAGAGGGATTTCCCAACTTACTATGTATAGGAGTTACAGACTGTATCAGCTATGTAGAAGGAAGACCAGAAATAACTCCGTGCATATATCTACCCAACAGATCTATGTTTGCTCGATAGAGCAAGCTTCATTACAGAGAAATGGCAGAGAAGAATTCTACCATTAGTTGGCTTATTACCCTAAATAAACAAATAATATCAATAATCTAGTACACCATGCAGTACTGATACCACAGTGGTCTAACCTGTGATGATTCCCAGCAGTAACAGGCTATTGTTACCCAGGTCGTTGGTTTGGGGGCCTCGATAATTTGCACATATATGCACCCCTTCTCCGTTTCCGCCCTGTGGTAAGGTAGTTCTGCCCAAGGCCATGACAATATTGTTTGTAGAGTATTGGTTTGCAACTCGGAAGAACATTAGGTGCATTACCTTCCTGTGTGTGTCTACTTTATGAGCAATCGTTGACAGCTGCTTATGAACTTGTGGTTCAAACATGTACAACAATAGTAAACACAGCATGTTTTGTACAGCAGCCTGCTTGTTTTGATATCTGTTTTAGTCTGCATGTAGACATTGACCTTTTACAAGGAAACACTCATAATACTGCACAATCCCAGAGACATGTAACTATGAGAGTTCTCCTTTTCAATGCATAGGTGATTTTTCTACGGCTATATTCGTATTTCATTTAATTTTTATTAAGATGCAAACTGATATATTCTACGGCACCTAAGGTTACGAAAATATCTTGAATTGGACGTGTGTTAAGATCTGATATAAATTGAAAAATACATCTTCCTATTTGGTATCCGTATATTTTAATATTTACGTTGTTGACACATGTTTGTATAAGTGGCTTATATACACAACAGAATGTATTTGATAAATTAAACTGACTCTTACAATAGTTTGACAATGTAAAATTACAACAAACGCCTGGTCAGTTTATATTTATAACTACTCTATACACGTGCTCACTTAACGCAAGTACTAACAGTGTTTTACAAGTTGGGTGAATCTTGGTATGCTTTACTATATCAATGCCACATTTTTATATCCTCTATAGTGATATCCTTTTTCTACAAATGTTTACAATATATATGTGTATTGAAATATAGTTGATAAAAAAAATGGTCAAAGTCCCTGGCAATATTAATATTAATATAATATAGAATTAACAATAATGAGAGATTTTACTCATGAACTTTTAATAAATACATCAAAGTCCTTTGTCATGTCACCATATACCCCTTCTCCCTCTGATTCTATTCTTCCTGTAATTCTTCTATGTCTCATTCTTTTCTTTCTTAAAAACAGTACATAACACACAATTATATGCAGCCACACTATATTAAAGATACATATGGTCTATGTAGTTAATAGTGTAGCTATTTTTAGTGTTGAACTTTTACTAATGACTAGAAATGGAATGAGTGTGTGTATGTGGATGGAAAAATGAATTGTAAATGTATTATGTACTGTTGGAAAATTTTCAAAAATAAATAAACAATGTTTTACAACGCACTTTGGTGTAGTATTGCCAAAGAAATCCGTATGTTATGTGCGTGATTTTACCCCCTCATCATTTCACGTGTTTACCAGTCACCAATACAACATGGATTACACACTTCACTCAAAACAAAACCCTGTCGAAAAAATGGCTGGTGTTTAACACGGTGGTGTTACGTATGGATAAGTCATACACACAAACATGTCTACGGACTATAACAGATGGTACCCTCATCAAACACACTTTTTATACCCACTCATACACGTAGCATATATACATCGTGATTTTTTATATAATAATATCCAAAAAAACAGTAGCAACTGTAATAGGTGGAAAATGTGCGGCAGTTTTGAGAATGAATATTATTTTCATTCATTGCAACTATTTGAAAAACTTATTTGCAAATAAAAGATACAAAATTTAAGATAAATAAAATATAGCATTCAAACTTGAATTATTAGAGTTGAGCCAGCTACATTGATGTTTACATATGTTGTTCGAAATTGAATGATATTTACCCTAGGTTATTTGCACCAGGAATGCTAGAATACATTACGAAGGATATCACCCTATACGTGTATCTTATGCGACCCATGGCATGCCGACAAATCTTGCATATTTGAAACCCATAGGCAATCATAAGTAACATTTATTTTTCCAGAGCGTTTATATAGAGATATGTTTACATATTTCCCTTCTTCAGCTTAGTAAACTCTGACTGCGCATAAATTAGCGTATATGAAGTGAAAAAAGGCTCGGCGGATTGATACTCTTTCAAATATGGCGCCGTTCACGCTTCAGCGAGATAACAGTCCAATGACAACCAATGCTTGGATCATTCAACATCTAGATACATAGAACATATTCGGGATCCATTATGACTAATTATACAACAAAAGAATGCTGACAAACGTCTTATTTCATGGATGCACATTAGAATTTCTTTGACGGTAACGCCAACAATGGCGGCTTCGTTCTGACCTCGTCACTCCACGAGCAGTGTGTCAATTTGCGTACATGACGATCGTTGTGAATGAATAGAAAAGTTCTAAGGGGTTCTCTAATTGCTTGACTTAAAATTTAAAAACCATAAAAGGAAAAACAAAAGGGTTGTTCAGTGCGTATTTTCTAAATTTACTCATATATCGATGTAGATTCACTGGAACTATATTGTCCTAGCAACCACGGCTACCGTAGTTACCATCTTGGCAACCCGCTTCGACTTTTTTCTGCGTAATGTAGCATTTAAACATTTTCTGAATGTAAATATAAGGATTGGCCTTCATTTTGACGGCGTATACGGTAGTATGAACGCATTTGGCAACGAACATAATTTTTATGGAGAGTCCAAAGTACTATTAAAACTGTATGAAAATATCTTTTCGAAAGTTTCCTTTCTTCATTTTGTACTTTAAATATAAATATGTTTTTGTAACCACACTTTCAATAATGTTAAGCAACACTTTTATTATCAACATGACTGAGTAATCTTATCCTGTGTTGTATAACAAATAATGGGAAAACAACTAAACACTGGTGGGAAAACGTATAATCCCAGTCAGTGTTATGTGTCGGTAATCTCAGCATCAAAGTTGGCCTAAATGTGGGTCATTTCAACAAAGATAAGATTTCAAGCAGCTTTTCTATAGCTGATACGAAAGCTCGATTAGCCAATAGTTCTACTTTATCTGATGAAATTTGGCCTACTCTAGAGGTAGAATTCAGGAGTGTAGATACAGGAGCGTTCATCAACCTTCCAACATTGCATTGGGAGGGTTGGAAAGGAGGGGGGAAGACTAGGGCAGAGTCAGGGCTACAGTCTCGAGTCATCAAGCACCCCAGGAGCAGAAGAGATCTCGAAAAGCTCAAGTTCATTTGGTAAACTGTTATCGTATATTTTCTAGAATCAAAATAATCTCTCAAGAGTTTTAATCATAAAAAGTTTAGGGGAGCAAAGAAATGTATTATGTGGAAACAGATGGAAGTATCCCAATATCAGATGGACTTCACGATAGAACAGGATCATCTCAGAAAAGGCTTGGAATTACTTAAATAAATGTTTCATAACTCTATAGAAAGATTAGGTTTGATGATTCTACTATAGAACGAACTACAGTCTAGTCGTTAAACATCCAGGTTTATCCCGGTTATTTGTCATCGCTTTGTGTGCAGTGTTTAGTTGAAGTGTCTTGGTATTCAATGTACTGGGCAAAGGCACTATGGTCATTTACTTCATCATAGACGATTTTCTTTTATAGTTACACAATCCAAGTTCGTAGGACAATTTAATTTTCTGATAAGGATGAAATTTAAATTAATTTTCAAATGGTTTGTAAAATTGCATGTCTGATATGCATCATTTAATACAGTGTGCTGCAACTGTTTCTCCTCAGCCAGGTGCTGCATGATGTGCGTTTACATGTATAAAAACCCAAAACCTATTGGTTAACATCTAGAAAACGTATTGCTAGTCCAAATAATCAAAATATATAGGTGCATACATTACATTAGCTAGTCTAAATAGTACCTGCTCAATATCAAAACTAACGAGTTTGTTATATCAATTAACCCAACTTTACCATTACTTCTTTGTTGCATCGTTTACATGGTATGATAGGAATAAATAATCAATTGGAAGGTTGTAGTCATCCTACCTGACTGACTTCGGTCCAATGACCATCCTCTTCGGTAGAGTCACGTGCCATAAGGATGTACACAAACGGGGCCTTTCCGTTGACTTGGCCAGACGGTACGGGGCGGGACCAGAACACCTGACACCTTTGGGTGTCCCTGTACTGCTGAAGAAAGGGCTTCTCTGGAAATGTCCAGGTTACGTTTGTGCTCTTCGGAGCTGTGAAATAGATAAGAGTCTTTGTTAATGTTTCCCACATCGTTTGGAAACCATGCTCTACATAACTGTAGTTTACTGTTTTATTCATGAGAACAATATTTGACAGAACAAGCGTGTTTCCTTTACAGTAGAGCCCAGAGAGACCAGACAGTTTTGTTAGGACCTTTTCAACAGGAAAAAATGTCTGTGGAATGGAGAAGCTACCGAATTACTTTGACAGTTTTGAACAGAAAAACACGAAGATAAATATATATGCTGAAACACCAACTAGGTAGGGGGGACAGCTGGTTAACAACTTGTGGATAGAAATAAAAGTCTAGTGGGTACTACAAAGTGGAAATTTCGCTGTGTTGAACTTGGTTTTATTGTCGCTTAGAGTAAATATGCGAAAATCCACAAGCCATTTTATTCATAGATTATAATGATTTTAGATATGTTTAGAATATATAGATTTAAGATGCATTGCAGATGCGAGAGTGTCCACACCGCGAACACTTTAAATAGTCAAAACGTACGTACAATTTTGCATGACAATAGTTCCTGGGTAGAGAGGGTGTTGGCACGTATACCATTAACAGGGAACACAACAAGCAAAATGTACCAATCGTTACTACAATGTACCAATCGTTACTACAATGTACCAATCGTTACCACAATGAACCAAACTTTACGAAATTGTACCAATCGTTACCACAATGTACTAAATTTTACCATAATGAACCAAACTTTATCACAATGTACCAATCGTTACCACAATGTACCAAACTTTACGACATTGTACCAATCGTTACCACAATGTACTAAATTTTACCATAATGAACCAAACTTTACCACAATGTACCAATCGTTACCACAATGTACCAATCGTCACCATAATGTACCAAACTTTCGTACGAAGCCACTTCAAAATGGAGTTTGGGTGTTAGTGAGAATATAACATTTCTGAATTTAATCAGTACCAACGAAAAAAAGGAAATGAAAAAAATAATCCAGAAATATTCTATTCTTATAATTAAATTGTAAACACAAAAAATCAAGGGAAATGTATCAACAGTGTTTATGGATATCACCAGTAACATATCTGTCTACTGATAAATACATGTGTATCAGGGATAAATCTTAAACAATATTTAATGACTGTCAGTGTCAGTAAAATGGCAATAATGTGTTAACGAGGTTTTAAGTACAGCTGGTCTCAATTACATTAGATTTTAGCAAATGTGCGGATAAAAGTCATAGGTTCTTTTAATCTAGCCCATTTTCTAAATCACTGCAGATTGAAATATACATCAAATACAAATTTCAGAACAAATTCACACAAAAAAAAACAGATAAAAGGACTTATCGTAAGTAATTTTCATATCTTTTTTGTCATGAGGTTCTCTGGAAACAAATCTACCAACTATATATAAAAAGCATTATAATGTTACATTAAATGATATTCTTTATCTCTTCAGAGAATATTTTCTATGAATGCTCAATTCTTAAGTCAGTAGCACCTAGTGTAGAGTCTTCACAGATTGAAGATAGAACAGGTGTGTGAAAAAAAGCTCTCCATGGATCTCCATGTTCTATGATTGAGTTCAAATTTGGATTTTCCCTTTGATTCAGTTAATGCATCCCTGTTTTTTTAATCTAAGAAAACTACTTGTTTGTTCTCTGTATATGTTCTTACTGTAGAAAGATGTACTTGCCATGTACTATCTTAGTATCTTGAAATTAACTATTGGATGGAAATTAAAAAGAATACGAAAAGATTACAAAACAAACAGAAAACACACACACACACTTGAAAAGAAAATTATTGGCATGAGTATATGGTGTTGTACATTATTTATAGTACATATACACAGGTTAGATTAGTGTAAAATGAAAATGAAATGTGAATAATTATGTAACAAAATATAGCATACAAACAAGAATATCTTACTGACATTTTCCATTTCATTAAATATCCACCCTTTTCTCTAGAAAATTGTTCAAATAATCTAGCCATCTCACAATCTTTCATTTTTACTGGCATGAAGATGGCTATATTACAGTCTCCACAGTTCATAGTATACATTTCAAATATATAATTTACAAGTTTACTAATATGACACTTACTCGTGGATATGTCGTTAGTTTTAACGAAAGACACTCTAATGCTACCTAGACACTCATTCTTTTGCTTGACCGTAACACGTCGATGTCGGACTTGAAACAGACTTTTCTGCTCGTCGTGGCAGGTGCTTTGGATTTAGAGGTTTTAAAATCTTACTTCTGTCAGAAATTCTAGAGATCGCACTTGGCTCAGATACTATATTGGCACGTAGATTTGCATATGGTTTATCAACTGTATTCTAGCTGTTAAATAAATGTCTAACATAAATCTTTGACATTTAACGAATATAGAAGTAAAAAGAGAGTTCTCTATGAATAATTTGTACAAGCTAGTAAGCTAGGTTAGAGGAAAACTAGTATGGGGAAAATCCTTCTAAGGACGTCAGTTATGAAGTCCTTGATTAAAAACTAAATTTCATGGATGTGTTTTTATATTTCTTTGATGTAACTTATGAATTCATTCCTTCCAGAGCAAGACGCCAATATAAATATCATGATCACAAGAAATCTGATGAAATGATTGGGCTAGGAAAAATGATTATTTTCTGGCTGACGGCCTGATAGTATAGATCGACGATCGTTTTTTATTAAGTGTTCTGTGGGCTTGGAGATAGAGTAAGAGATACAGTGATAACAGGCCACACCTTCCCTCTCCAATCAACACCTAATACTGGCAACTAGGCACATGTATTTTTGAGTGAGGTGCCTTAACTTTTCGTATCAACATGTGTGGGAGTTTCCTTCTACATTAACTCAATAACCCCTGTTTTTTATATGTCTTGATTATTGTTTGTTTGTACAGCAAAGAAACCATCCTGAAGATATAGCTTATTCTCTTCACTTTACATAAACAGGGTATAGCCTACCAACTTCAAGCTATCCCGAGAATTTATCATGTTTATGAATATTGATAAAATCTTTTTCTTACCGGTCTAAACATACAAACTAGCTGCAATGAATTGGTCTTGGCAACTATTGGAAATACAGGTGTGGGTGTACCCCCTAAATTACGCACGGGAGCGAAACAGGTGCATGGATTACCATAAGGGTTATATAATGTTTGCCAACATAACTCCTCAGAATATCAACTCGAACCTGAAACAATTCGCCGTCTTACCTGCCGGAACTGTCTCCTTGAATTCACATGCTGTTTTGCATCCCTTGTGCTTAAAAATAAAACAAAGCATAGTGCTGTCAGTGGTAACAGAGACAGTGAATCACAACAGATTTCCATTGTGTTCAGCAATTAGATTTACCGTAAAATATATGTAATGTGCGCGCTTGTTTTGCTTAGAATAATGTTCATTGTGGACAGATAATATTGTTGTAATGAGAATTCATTACCACAGATAATATAGTTTGTACGTAAAAATCAACAAAGTTACTTGAAAATCACATTATACTCGCGCGTATAGCCTTTTTTTAATCCATTATGCAGCTGGTTAAAACACATTAATACTTACACATCTAGCCTGGTTGTCACATAGAGACCCCCACACATCATAGCTTCTGAACAGCAAAGGGCATAGATCCCAACACTACAAATTACAGGAAGCACTTTATCGATTTGGTCCCTACATCTCTGACGATAGTTTGAGTACAGGCTGATTAAACATGAAACAAGTGTAAATTGGTCTATAAACTGCAGTGAATTAAATTGACATCGTAGTAAAATGTTCATAATCACATGGGTTTGACGTTGATAGGAAATCGTGTCAGTTAAAACAGGACTTTGTTGAAGGTATGGCTTTTCAGTATGTGTACGTAGTTGTAACAAGTTTTATGACTGTATCTTAATTTCATTTCTGTTAAATATATCATTCGTCCAGTATTTATTTATATAAAGTATGGTGATTATCTAAAACCTATAAACTTACCATCCGACAACTGTTTTTTCGTTGACAAACTGCATCATTTATTCGAGCATTCCTTTTCAAGGTCTGAAAAACAACCACCAAGAAAGAGGTAATGAAATGTTAAATTCGTGTAATAAAACCTGAACAATTGGTTTAACAACTTTAACTAAAGGTTTACATAGAGATGTAAACAGGAAGTGGTGACTGACCCCCTAGGGAGAGCGTCGATGTACACCGCGGCCTTTATCTAGTTTAAACTAATCAGGAATATTTTTGCTGTAAGGTTTTCACACGAATTCTCCTATTTGATGATCCAGTAAATTCCTACGGCGCTGCTATGCATAGCATTTCCTACCTCCCTTTTCCATAACCAAACGAGTTTATTCTGCTGAGAAACACTCCCTTTTTTAGTTTCTCATAAAAAATAGAGCTTGCAAACATTTGAAATATTTGCACAAAGAAGATTAACAGAGGACTGATATCAGGAACGTTTCCTGGCCATACGTAACATTTCAATAGTATACTATTCTAAACTGGCCTTTAAAAAAGTTATTTAACTTCAGTATGTGCCAACATTATATACTAGCTACTCATCATTGTGTTACTGCGCTGGTGGTAATCAACGAGGTAGCCTTTAGAACATGGAGTAGAGTGGACACTGGCACAATGAGATATAATACATGTGGTTGTAGATATTTTAAAATGGTGCATGAAGTTAATTATTTTATATGTATGGATGTATTCGGATATATACTAGTACATGTATAGGTCATTAAGGTAATATCAACGGTAGATTTCCGCATATTATTGTGTGCTTATGTATGGATGTATTCGGATACAAATAACAGAATATACATATACATGTTTATAAATACATATTAAATGTACCTATCTGCGTTTTTTTTCGTAAATGAGAAAAAACACCATAACATGATAAGTTCTCATGAATGTCATTTAAAATTACATTTTTATTATACATTTTAATTCTATCGCCTATTATTTTCAATTATTTCTGTTTTCGCATTTGTATTTTTACATCAACATGTACCGGTCTTCTAAATATTTTCCTAAAAAATTTTTTTTAAGAATACAATATAACTACCTTTATCTGACGGTACCGTATAGTCCCAATCAGTTTATACAAATTATAATTGTAGAACCTAATATAGAGACAACTGAAGCACGTAAACATGTATGCATGTACTTATAACGTTGTACAATGTATGTACTTATAACGTTGTACAATGTATGTACTTATAAAGTTGTACAATGTATGTAATTATAAAGTTGCACAATGTATGTAATTATAAAGTTGTACAATGTATGTAATTATAAAGTTGTACAATGTATATAATTATAAAGTTGTACAATGTATATAATTATAAAGTTGTACAATGTATGTACTTGAAGTAGGCGAGTCCAGCAATCAAGATTCAATCATGAGTATAATTGGATTAAAATAATCGGTAACTAAATGCAAGCCTATCGTTGTGAATTGGTGAGTGTCTGATCCTTGATTTACAGTTAATATCAACGTTTTAAAAATGTGTGTTATTGTATTTCAACATGTTTGGTTTGGTGTCATTCTGTTTAACGTCTTATTAACAGCTAAGGTCATATAAGGACGTGTATTTCAACAGTGTTATCAACATGTTATATAATTGTGTTACTACTTAATTGTTCTCAAAAAGTTATATAACTGTGTTATAAGGTTAGTGTTATTAACACGATATATAATCGTGATGTTCCTTTTCTGTTATTAATGTGTTTAATAACGGTGTAACGTTTATTACATAAGTGTAATACCATGCTCTATAATTGTGGTAGGTACATATACGAGTCAGGCAGGCTCAATTTGTCAAATTTGTTATGAGTGACCTAACTTAATGTCACTCCCAAGTACTTTAATATTTTAAACACGCGTGAATCATCATTTATAATATATATGTATACTGATATATGCATACATAATGACACCTGGTTCTCTTTAAACTAAACGTGTTTTAAATGTTAATCAGATGACATCGGCTATAATTTTTAGCATAGCGTTGCTAATCAAAATATCAAGAGCAGCATGTATAAATCTGCAACAATTTATACTTTCACCGGAAAATTACAAGTTTTATATTTACATAGACTCGGCCAAAGTAAGTAATGAACCAGTTAAAACATATGTCGCTGATTACAATTACACGAGCATACGAGTTAACAGCAACACATTGGGCTTGTTACACCTTCCAAGAAATAAAAGAGGGTCTCGTTCAGAGAAAGGGTAGTCTGCAATATGTTTATCTGGTTTATTTAAGTTCATTTGGCTACCACTTATAGTGATCACAAACTTTACTCATCACTTATCTTTGTTTTCTAATTGAAAAATTCCAGTATTCCAATCCACTTAAATTGAACATAAAAACAAATTCTGTGGGAAACATGTGCCCGTGTCAAAAGGTTGGACCATATTGCCTTTAGATACCCAAGATAGCACAGGAGCTATTACAGTGTAGAAGATGGCGAACAGTTCAGGCCCAATTCACTTCATCAACATCATCACCAAACTTAAATATCAAGAGATGATGTTCGTTTTTCTTATTGCATTGCTGCAATGCAACACTTTGCTTCCAGGAATAGCATTTGTTAACACTATCAGACCAGACTGATATGAAATCGGAAGGAATTTTGTGTAGTCGGATGGATTTATTTTATCAAAGCTACCTAGTAACGCTAACCCGGTCAAAACACATACCTGTGTTATGTAGGTAGTGTAGTTCGGGTTGTAATCAGCTCATTTGTTCAGTAGCAACACAATAAGGATACCGAATGCTTGCTAAACGGTTTAAATGAATCTAGTGTTGGAGGTGGTTAATTATAGGTAATTGGTAACAGACATCACTATCTAGACTATAGGTCCGACTAACGGAGCCTTGCCGACTTTAGCCGCCACACCCCTTTTGTTGGAACCGTGAGCATCAGGCAAAGCTATAATAATATAACAATATAAACTTTCCAATTGTTTGTATCAGTTTCCTTAATTTCAGTAAGAAATTGTGAAATAAATAATTATTCACTGATTAATGTGCTCCACCATTGTTACTGCCGATAAAAACAGGCAGATATTAGGTATTTACAAGTAATTGCCAAAGGTAAACATGAACCTAACGTACAAATATAAAGATATGAAATCTTAGCAATTTACCGAAATATTTGTGTAAATGTTTCGCCATGAAGAACCGCAGATGGAGCTACTGCTTTCTACCGCGTGTCAGATTAGTTTAATTTCAACGGCACAACACACTGAATAAGCATCAAACACATACTTCGAAGTGTAATCAACAATTCGATGTATGTTTACCCTTCAGTAGAAACATCGAGTTAATTTATTAACTTTACAAGTGTCCTCAAACAGTAGATATCAACATACACCTACACTGGCTGTATGTAGCAAGGCAGATTTTACAAATCGGTAAAACCAGGAAAATGTAGATCGAATGAGAGAGGCCTGGTTCTTGTTTAAATGTCTCCGAAACAATTCCATTCAACTTTTTTGTTGCATGAAATGCGTGCACTCCTAATCAAAGTTTCGTATTTCTGTTCTTATATATACCATCAGTGGCATTGAACGTGGCTTCACAGAAACATTTACAAACACTTGGTCTATTTCTGTAGGCAACAAGTGGGCAGGGAACAAAACCCTTCATTTTCTTCAAGTGTTTCTTCCAATTTAAAGAGACGGTGCTCTTGTCTGATGAGCAATGGAGTACCAGCACTAGTTCGCAATACAGGCACGCTTTTAGAATATTCTAATTCTTGTGAAATGCACAAGGTCTACATTTGCAATGATTTAAACAAGTACGGACCCGTGAAAAAATAAACCCGATGTATCCCAAAAGCGAACTTCCTTTTGATATTTTAGCAATAACGCGCTCTATCCTTAATTGTCAATACCACGTCTCTTAGGAGCGACACGTGTTGTTCGATCTTCAAACAAAAAGACTACAGATATCCAATAGCTCCGCAGCATGGTTTGAAATCATACATGGATAGTTTATGGAACAGTGTTGTTTGATATATATTGTTTCGTCAGTGACAGATGTTGTTTGATTAAATTATATGAAAGAATCATTGCATATTCGCAGTATTTACATCACAAGCAACAAGACTAGTCACGATCCAAACTTGCAATTCAGGCCAGGATACAATGTGCGTTATTGGTTATTAAATTGTTTTTCGAAGTACATTTCACATGAATACAAATATATAGTAGCTGTTAGTCTAACCACACCAGAAATAGTTCATTATGGTAACAAAAACAACTTAATTTCAGCACAGAATCTTATTATGAATTTTTCAACTCCCGTCACATTTAGGACAGAACGCATTAGTTCTCTCGAAACCTTACATAGGAAAAAAAATGGAAAACTTACCACTTGTAGACAGTTGACACGACACCTTGCTATGGTAACAGGTGGACCTAGGTCACCACTGGCCAGGTGAGAACACAGAAGTACAGGTAAGATACCGAGTAACACGAGGCTCATGTTGGCCTCACCTTGTCCTCAACACTAAGGGGTGGCTATACCCAACACATACACAGAATCCAAGAATCCTCAGCACATTCTGATGAGCTTCATCCGCATCTAATGATTTACAGGTGAGTCTGGCACGGGTGTATTTAATGCAGGTCCAACAGGTAAAAATCCACAAACACCTTTGAAAGTTACAAAAAAAGAGGAGAGAGTTAATTAAGAACTAGTCATACCCTGTTACTATTCACGGAACCTCGCGCACTGAGCGCGTGCTCGGGACTTATCTGTGTTGAATTATTTATAATCATTTCAAAAGTAATCGATACCACAATACTATTGATGGAAGGTAGTGTCTTAGCACGGGTCATACTGACGTATGTAAAACACGGCGCGGATATGACCACGTAACCAGAACGTTGATTGACGTATACATTGAAACAGGAGGTTCCTTTCCATTATGGCTAAACAAAAACAATTTTATTCATGAGGAAATTATCTATGAAATAAGCATATGTTTTAGCTGCAATAAGCACAATTGTCATTGAAATATAACCTTTCTATATTGACTTGCAAAACAACGTTTTCCTGTGAAGCTAATCAATGGATATACGGATATATTCCTTCTTTCTGTTCGGGCATCAATAGGAGATACTTACGGGAAATAAAATGATAGAGGTATAAATTATTATTATTTAAGCTCGACAGCCTGCACTACTGAAATGAGGATTTTTCTTCAAATGAAAAGGTTTAAAACTTATTAATTGTTTTCAAAATGATTAATTTAAATTCAAAACATAATTTCGCGACCATGTTTTCTTCTTCCACTGTCGCTGTCCATGTTGAACAGAGGGTGGACATTGGAGCGGATTGTTGACAGCTCGTCTTAGGCTGGATTTTAGGCGAAAAGTATTACAAATATTTACTATATATGTACTGTGACTTCTGAATGATTCATTTAGATATTGTTAATTTCTATTCCGAGTCTGATTCAAAATATTAATATAAATAGTCAATAAATGATTTTTTTTTTTTCATATATTATTTTTTCATTTCTTTTAGGTATTTGTATTTGAATAACAGCATAACGTATTGCAATCGAGTTGTTAGTATCTCCCGAATATAGACAACATATGTTTATAAACAAATACTGATATTAATTACAATCCCAATGGTAAGAATGGACCTGTAATACGTTATCGGGACGAAATGACAACAATTAGTAAGACAGATCTAGGTACAGTGAACCACGGTGTGTTATCAGTACTCCAGCACCCACCACTGTCACCAAGCCAACTTTCGTCACCTGTTGTTTAGATGTTGTGGATGTTGTAGTGTATTTTGGAACCGTGTGTGCAACACTTGGCGTAGTACGGTATGTGTTTACATGGCGTGCGGGAATGTAGCAGGTCATTGTCAGAAGTGCGTTTTATAGAATTGTATTGTTAATGTAGAGGGGCCGGGGCCGGGTAGGGGGAGTGCTAAGACAGGGGAAGTCTGGGACAGGGTGTAGGACTAGGTGGTGAGAAATAGGTATCTAGTGGAAGAGTAGGCGATACATTGGGGGTTAGGCTGAAAGGCAAGGGGTACGACACGGGTAGCTCACGAAGGGATCGGAGATAGTGAGTAAGGCTAGGAAAGAGAACGGGAAGGGTAGCTACATGTAGTAAATGGAATATGGTAGGGGTTTGTTCTTGTACTTAGTCCTTTTCAAATTACCTGGGATGATAATAAAAGTAATAAGATGCATTCTATAATATACTAACTAAATTTTATATATGTGAGTAACACTTTAGATATAAAGAAAATGAAAAAATCGATTTTTCTTACATTATTATTGCAAGTATCTGATGTTTCACGTAAATCCTAAACAGTTACACTTACCTGGGGAATAACTAAGTATGTCACACACTCTCAATCAACATACGTCCAATTGTTCAACTGTTCAATAGCGTAACTGGAATCGGTAAAAATCCAGGAAGGTATACACATATATACTTGGTAAGTGTTATCTACCGGTGTAATCCACCAGTACTTGTTAGTCTTGTTTTTATAATAATTACACCGGTATCGATATCGATACAGGATTATAATTAAGTTTTAATCCGTGTAGTGTGATCATCCGAATTGTCCCCCATCTTCCAGTTCAGTGTGAGGCTTCTGTTGCTAATCCTTAAATCCCGGACACTCTCAGACACAGATAACCCGAGACAGGTTACTAGACATAAGCACCAATAACAACAATGCGAACTATATACCCAAGGCACCGGCGTTGTTGTTGTTATTATCTATTTATAAACAACTTTTAAAACTCCAAAATAAAAAGCATATAGCCGTTTGCACTGACTGTATATAATTTCTTACACAACTTCAAAATCCAAGAGGTGTTTTCTAAAATCGTCCATCAAACTGGTTGTGCACCAAACTCCAACAAAGTTGGGCAAGTTTTTAGAACTGGCGTGTGACTAGCGCGTACAGAGTGATGTAGGCTCGTGATGTAGGCCCCCTCAGCCCGGTGTAACCCAAGCCCCTGCTATCATTGGGGGAAGGATTCCATGTTACTCAGTAGAGAGAGAGATATGTCGGCAGAGGGGATCTAAGCTCCCCAAGCACTGGTACCCAGCCTCAGTACCAGCCTCACAGAGTCGCTACTCCACTATATTATACACACGACTTATTATTCTAGGTATTGTTCGAAGTATTATACAAGTTATATATTTTCTTTGGAGGTCTATTGAACTTCAACTTTTAACTTTCAACTTTCAACTTTCAACTTTATCTCTCTTTTAAAATTATAAATGAAACAGAGAAAACATGTTTACAACAGTACACAACATCAAATGTATTATTTTATGGAGGACAAATCACGTGACTAAACAATTTATTGATATTTGTAAGGTGTAATGAACATTACAATGATACTAATTGAATACCTGCTTACCTATATACGACACATTTACCTAGGTATAATAGTCGTTATCCTGTCAGTTTATATTGTCTTTACATGTGTAAGGAGCATCACAATAATACTAGAACAATAAACCTGCTTACCTGTATACGACACATTTACCTAGGTATAATAGTCGTTATCCTGTCAGTTTATATTGTCTTAACATGTGTAAGGAGCATCACCGTAATACTAGAATAATAAACCTGCTTACCTGTATACGACACATTTACCTAGGTATAATAGTCGTTATCCTGTCAGTTTATATTGTCTTTACATGTGTAAGGAGCATCACCGTAATACTAGAATAATAAACCTGCTTACCTGTATACGACACACTTACCTGTATACGACACACTTACCTGTATATAATGCATTAATGACACATTTACTCTGCACCCAGTTATAACCCAGGATCAGGGTAGAACTGTTACTGTGATACGGTTTATGATCTTAATATTCTTTTACCTCGATACAAAATTTAACTTTGCAATAAAAAGTCGTTTATTGGGCTACAATTGTTACCTTTATAACATGCATTTTTCTTAAAACCTTTGGTAAATGTCAAATTCCTTTACCCTTTTACTGCAGTTTGACACAATTTTGCCACTGTGAAAATAATTTGTAATTTGAACAAAATTAATCCGAAAAATAATGGCTTTTCATTCTGCCAAATTAACCTGACGTTATCAATAATTCGATGGTTGTATAAAATGGTTATAACAAATCTGCAATGTTTTCAAATTATTTTCACACGTTCTAAAATTATTTAAGAACATACGAACAAACTGTATATGTTAAGGAATAAATAAAGTATCATTATGTGATTTCTATGTTCACATATCAAATCAGAACACTCTGTACTTGTCGCGGAGATTTTTGTTCGAGATAAAAGTTTTCAGAACCTTAAGTAATATTTTTATCACCAAAATGTAAACTGTATTACAAAATATCGTATGTCTGGAGTTGGTTTGTAACGAGTTACGAGCACGCGATAGGTCAAACTTACCCCCGTACTCGGTCAAATTTAAAGAGGGATCAACTCGATCTTGTTTATAATCCGACTCCAGCAGCATCGTCCGCCTATAAGTGAATGTTGGAGTATTATGGTGTGGATTTATTATTAGCCGTCTCCCTAGGACCACTGCTGATTATTCCATTAAAAACCGTAACAGGGAAAAATTGCTGTAGACACGTATTAATTTTGTCCAAGATTCTGCAGTAATTCCCTGCGATATCTATCCATGAAGGTGCAGCGTACGTGCGTTACCATAGCAATTGACAATTATATTAATTAGATTTTCGTTTTAAGAATGTACATCGACAAATTCACATTTATGTAAGGTGCAAAACAATGTGCTATCAAATGAAAATGGCTTTAGATGACAGCACAATACGTGTATACAATATGATAAAATGCAATGCAGTGATCTGGTTATTTTTTATTTCAGTTTATTGGTTCATCTTTTTTCATTCGATTTTTTTATTTTACATTTAACTCTCGGCATCCTTCTCCTTTTTCTCCCTCTCACGCTCGTTCTAACTCCCTATATTCATGTACTCATTTTCCCAATTTCTATCTAGCCCCTCTTGTTTTTGATAGTATTGTAATCTCAAGCAGACATTACGCGATAAGTACGTATATTGCCTGGTAAGGTTCATGAAACCCAGAAATGGGCAGAACGATTGGGTACGACGCTCTTGTAAAAAGATGTATGTTATCTTAGAGCGATAAGGCCCTAGGACGAGATAAGTACCTGTAGGCGTCTGACCTTCCCCCTCCCCCCTGTAAAACAGGGGTGTGGCCTCCCTGTGAGATACAGTTACTTATCTGTGCCCAGTTGGACTTCTTGCCATCCGTCCATATCTAATTCATAAATACGGTATCTTCGACTATCATCATTGTTAAACTGTTCAAAACTGCCACTTACTTCTATTTATTAAGAATACATGCCATGTTCTATTTTTACTGGTATCCTAAACAAACTTAGATTTTGCTAGAAATTGTCGTTTCCCGCGTTTAAATTGTACGAAGATATTAAATAACTACCAGTGTGCAGCCAAGATGGTTACTGCGTTTCATATATGATAAAATTACCTCGGTGATTACGGCTACCTATCATACAGTTTTTTTTATAGGTTGGAGATATTTTACTAAATATCGCGGGTGCCCTGTGCACTGCTTATAAATCCCTTATAATACTTGGCATCCTCGAGGAAATGAGACAGCGTCCTGCTCTGTGGGAGCCGAGAAAAACGGCTCACGTTTAATCGTTTCTTGCTTTCTTTCAGTTTCGCTGAACATTCGATTTTCTTTGAGAAATTTTTTTTATCAAATTTTAGATTTCACGTATTTTATACATAAAATATTACTGAATATGTATTTAATTATTTTGTAAGTAGAGAGTAAAGTAAACGTTTCCATCTGCCACAGATCTAGAGCTGCAAGAGAGTTTCGCACGATAGCATGCACATGTAAACACTTACCTGTACAATGATTTTACACGTGCATTTATACATGTACCCTGAATTGTTCGACGTATTGTTATAAGACCACACACAACTATCCTAAACATACCTACAAACGCTGTGCGCGTGCATGGCTCACAAAGCACGAAACGCCGTAACGTACAAGAGCATATTTTTATAAATGAGCATGCTTTACTTGTTATGCTAGGTAGGAAGCTATTCCACTGTCACGGTCCACATTTCGGCATACTTGCCGACAGTTTTTAATCCTACACATTTGCTCGGTAACCAATAGCTCTAACGAAGGACGTTTTTTCGATTGGACCCATCAATTGCTTCGAGTGGACACTTTGATCGTTTATTTTACAATTTATTCATTTTATACTTAAATATATAATTACCGTATGTGTTAATGCGGCCAACATATGCTTGCTTTCCTTTCATGACGGACTTAGATTCACATAGAATCTAATTTCGTGATTATGATTAAATATCAAACTATCGATGTACAGGTTACACAACAACCTAAAACGGTATCAAGGGAAATGGCTAAAACATTATCTTTCAATGCAGATATTTGTTCTTTTTCGTGGAAACGCTACCCAAATGACCAAATGTTCAATACTACCCACTAACGTGAAAAAAACTTTCTTAACTTCACAGGAAACATATAAATACACATTTAGTACAAATATAATATAATACACATGTAGTACAAATATAATATATGCGGCCCCTTGCCACTGCATGATATCATCAGAGTGTGTAACCTTGACCTTTCGTCCTTTAGAATGTTATGATCGTACAAATTGGGTGTGGCCTTGACCTTTGACACGTTTACGACCTCGATCGAGCCAGCACGCGAGTGATTGGTCGATCATTTCACAGCACTCGCACGTCAATGAGACCTCTCAAATATCAGGAATAAGGCCAGTTACAAACACGTCAAAGTTGCTTTTATCTTGTATCAAGTAATGTGGAGATAAATTAGTTATGAGTGTTTGATTAAAAATGGAATGTACACGCATTACTTCATTGGTGTTAGGAGTTATACGGTAAACTCTCCCTATCTTCTAATCCAGTGCTACAGCGGTTTGCTGTGTTATGTTGAGAAATTAACAAAAATGGGGGAAAACGCTACTAAAAATCAGAAAATGCACAAGAAAAAACCCCGTGATTTTGATTGAACTATCACATTTGATTGCAATAGATAGATTTTTTTATTAAATTTTTCATCTTATTATTAATCAATTAGGTATTATTGTAGGGTTTCTGCTGTTTTATGTTTTCTACGGTTCCTTGCGTGTCCGTCCCTGTGTGTTAATGCTGTGACATACATTTATTTATTTAATTAAGACAGAAATCGTCTCTGACCTAAGGTCAAGGGTCAACAACACGCTTCTTACCGTTAGGCTATTGGAGACATTTGAAAGATAATACATTGATGTGTCGACCCTATTTATATATAACGGCAGTACAGACTAGGCTTCGACAATTTCGTCATTCTGTACTCTTTCTTCATTTGGTTCTACCGCTGAAGGCTATGACGTGTTTACGTAGACGACAAATATTATTTTTTGAAAATTATAAGATCTCCAAGTACATGTTTAATCCCCCTCCAATACGTATAGAGTGGCTGCCTTGTCATATCTTCTTTCAAAGAATCCACTGGATATCCTTTGTCAGACTCGCCGGATAATTTACTTGTCAATGCAACGGTTACAAATTTGGTTGGACAGTTATATTGGTTTGCATACTCTCGCTCTCTACGGGTTAGTGATAATCCACATGTTCCCGAAAAGCTACCAAGGTTATAGGGGTCACAGAGGTCACAAAGAACGCGAAGGAATGAAACAACAGCTGTTATTACAGTTCCATTTCCAAGTCCCCAGGCAATTTGCTGACAATAAAGCAGTCAACACGTGCGCAATGATTGTCCGCCATTATTTATGTTACCCATTCGTTACTCTCGTCATCTCGCGAGACTTGACTTCATCCGCGAGATTGATGAGAACACCAGAAAATAAAAAATATCACAAATCATAATTTTATTGATATCGACTTGCGAAAAACCTTTTTACACGTAATGAAAAGACAAATAAAAGGGCTGTATATCATTCGCCATGAGCAGTTCATCGAATTACAGTGTAAAATGGGTTTTAGATTGCAATAAAGACTTGTAAAGTTATTGTTTTTTCACACATCAGCACTTCTATCGCTGTAAATGGGTTTC